CTTCTGTGGGATCCCCCTTGTGCTCGGCACCTGGAACGCGACCCATACCTCCACGAACTGTTTTGTCCTGAAGTCCTTGCGTGAGCCATTGCTGGCCACGAATGGTGCACAACATCTTCAAAAATGCCATTTTGACCATATGGGAATTGGGCGCGATCTTGTAATTGATGACGTGCGGGGCATTCTCACAGAGGCTGCGCACCAGACCCAGCGGGATGTCGACAGTCGAATGGAAGAACTTCAGTGCCCGCTTCTCTCCATTCGATTGTTCTTCCACGATGAGCTGAAGGCGGCATGCATCTCCCAAAGCGTCCCGTGGTCGGACACTAGCGGGCAAAGCGGCCAAATTCAAATTCCCATCCATGAAGGCAGTCTGGATTGCCTGCAAGTCTTCCTCTGAGATCTGAGCAATGTACTGGAAGAATTCCATGAAGCCCTTTTTCCCACGCGTGGGCGGCACGAGGGGCAAGTCATCAATGCTCGCACCCTCCACGGTGATGTCATGATGCTGGTACTGCTCATAGTAGACCAAGTTGGTGCGTTTGACTGCCTCCAGTGCCAGCTCCATGGAGACCGTGACGCAAGAGCAAGTGTTGCTGAAGCGAGATGCTGTGAGAAGGCTGCGGGCACAGATGCTGAGCGGGAGGTCACACAGTTCATGGAGACTGCTGCAGACACGACGCCAGATCACAAGCGAATGCGCACTGTGCAGCTCTGACACGAAGTTCCGCGAAACCAATGTCCCTTCCCCTGTCCCGCCTCGCCGTTGCCCGCTCGCTGACGGAGTACGAAGAACCTTGGGCGGCACGACCGAACTCAGGGAACTTGATGTTGCTCTAAGGCTTCCTGAAGGGAAAGCCCGCTCACCTCAAGCCTCCCCAAGAGCCGAGGGAGGGGGCCACCCCCCCCCTCCCTTAAGAGGCTTTCCCTGGGGAAGTGCTTAGACAAGCTGCTCTCACACTACTTACTCTCAAAGGTTTGCTTCTGGATTTTGCTACTCCCCCGTGAAGGCAGTCGAGTAACAATTCCAGACTGTTCCATACTCTTATCAATGCCCCTGTGCAACACCCTCAAAAACATCGATCTTCAGCAGGCCCGTTACCACCCCGAAGCCAATCATATATATATATATATAATCATATATATATATATATATAATCATATATCTAGTCTACATATAATCATATTTTATCATATATATATATAACCATATATAATCATAAATAATCATATATAATCAAATATAATCATATATAATCATACATAATCATATATATAATCATATATATATACTAATATATACTAATATATACTAATATATACTAATATATATATATATATAAATAATATATATATATAATAATAATATATCTATAAATATAGTCACATATATATGTATATACTAATACATATATACATAATCATATATATACTAAGGTATATATATATTATAATATATCAAGATAATCATATATCTATATAAACATATATATATACTTATATACATATCGTCATATATCTATATACAATAATAATACATATTTATATATGCTAATATATATATATATATATGTATATATAATCATATATCAAGATAATCATATATCTATATAAACACATATATATATACTTATATACATATCATCATATATCTATAAATAATAATCATAATAATAATAATGATGATGATGATAGTAACAATAATACATATTTATATATATATACATAATCATAGTGATCTATATATTACCTGTTATATATAGTCGCGGACAGGTTATAAGCAGATTTTCATCTGCTTATCACACCCCCAAAACCCTCAAAAACGCTCAAATAAGGATCTGCTAGAATGGGGTACCCTTAAATCAGACCTGTAATAAGCAGATTCCCATTATGTGGGAATTGGTGAAATCGGGAATCTGCTTATTACAGCTGCTTGCACAATTCAAATTCGACTAAAGGTAACACGAAATATGGGAATGGTTTGCGTATTTTTGTCCTTGAGAAATATCATGAAAATGCATGACTGCAGAAAAAGACAAGTAGAAATAGAAAGGCAGAGAAGTAGAAAAGCAGCGAAGCAGGAAAAAAAAGGAAAAAAAACAGGGAAGCAGAACAGAGAGAAGCAAGAAAAGCAGAGAAGCAGAAAAGCAGGAAAAAAACAAAATAGCGGAAAAGCAGGAAAAGCATACAAGCAGAGAACAAAAGAGCAAACACGCAGAAAAGCAGAGAAGTAGAAAAGCAGAGAAGCAGGAGCAGAAGAAATTCAAGAATCCAAAGAAAATACCTGAACCTGCTCAAAAGAAACCTAAAATCAATAGCCCTCCATAAGAAAGGGCTGCGACAAAAGCACAGGCCCAAAATCAAGCCCCAAATCGCAAATTTATTTTTGAAAGGCATTCTGAGAGAAATTGCTAGAAAATCACAAAACACCAGCCCGAGGAACCTACAAATGCCTGAAAGCAAGCATTGTTCTCTGCTGCACAAACTGTAATAAGCAGATTTGGAAATCTGCTTATTGCAGCTGCTTGAAAGTTGAGACTTCTTTGGGCAACAAACTCAAAATAGCCGGGCCACAGCCCAGAAATTGAATCAGACTAGAATATACCAGAATAATTTGTTTAAACAGTCTCAATCAATCACAGCACAGTATAGAAGGGCTGCCGTTTCTAGGAGCCCAAGGCAGTGTCAAAAGCGTTCGTTTGTAAAGCAGTCTTAAGGGAGTTTTGGAATGAGAAAGGGTTGTGACAAAAGGACGGGCCCAAAATCAAGCCCCAAATGTATGTTTAAACGGCATTCCGAGAGAAATTGCCGGAAAAAAACACAAAAAAAACAGCCCGAGGTAACCTACACATGCCTGAAAGCATGCACTATAGTTGATCTCCACTACACCTTGGCTGTAGTAAGCAGATTTGGAGATCTGCTTCTTACAGCCGCTTGAAAATTGGGACTTCGTTTGGTGGGGCCACAAATTCAAGAAATAGCCGGGCCACAGCCTAGAAACTGAATTAGACTATAATAGAATGGTGTGTTTAATCAGTCCTCATCAATCGTCACAGCACAGTATAGAAGGGCTGCCGTTTCTAGGAGTCCAAGGCAGTGTCAAAAGCGTTCATTTGTAAAGCAGTCTCAAGGGAGTGTTGGAACAAGAAAGGGTTGCGACAAAAGCACGGACCCAAAATCAAGCCGCAAATGTATGTTTGAAAGGCATTCTGAAAGAAATTGCCGGAAAAACCACAAAACACCAGTCCCAGGAACCTACAAATGCATGAAAGCATGCATTATAGTTGATCCCCACTACACCTTAAACTACGCTGACTGTAGAAAGCAGATTTGGAAATCTGCTTATTACAGCTGCTTGAAAGTTGGGACTTCCTGGGGCAACAAATTCAAGAAATAGCCGGGCCACAGCCTAGAAACTGAAGCAGACTAGAATAATGTGTTTAACAGCGGAAGGGCTGCCGTTTCTAGGAGTCCAAGGCAGTGTCAAAAGCGTTCGTTTGTAAAGCAGTCTTAAGGGAGTTTTGGAATGAGAAAGGGTTGTGACAAAAGGACGGGCCCAAAATCAAGCCCCAAATGTATGTTTAAACGGCATTCCGAGAGAAATTGCCGGAAAAAAACCAGCCCGAGGACACCTACAATTGCTTGAAAGCATGCATTATTATAGTTGGTTGATCTGCACTACGCCTTAAACTACTCTGACTGTAGTAAGCAGATGTGGAAATCTGCTTATTACAGTTGCTTGAAAGTTGGGACTTCCTGGGGCACCAAATTCAAGAAATTGCCGGGCAGAAACTGAATCAGACTAGAATATACCAGAATAATTTGTCTAAGCAGTCTCAATCAATCGTCACAGCACAGTATAGAAGGGCTGCAGTTTCTAGGAGTCCAAGACAGTGTCAAAAGCGTTGAATTGTAAAGAAGCTTTGAGGGATAATTGCAACAAGAACGGGTCACCTGAAAACCAAGAGCCACAAGAAAGGGTCGCTGCAAGACCAAGAGCCACACATTGTTTCTTTACTCTGGGCTGGCAAATTTCTAGGCCCCTTTACATGATACCCACTAGAAAAATATTGTACACTGAATGGAGTAGGTCCACTCAGACTGTAAGAAGCAACTCATTTTTATTGTATACGGGGCACCTGATCAATTTGCTCGTGTCGGGGAAATTGCATTTTGGTTTATTGCTGTAGGTTTGTACGCGTATACAGAATCGGAAGTTCGGTCACTGACTGAAAACAACTAAACTCTAGCTCTAGCAGCCTCCTTAGTAACAGGCATGATTGATGCATTCTATCGGTTTTCAGCCTCCTTAGAGTGTCCTTGATTGGTTTGTTTTTTCCTTGGATTTTCTTTTCCTTTGTTTTTCCCTTGGAAACCAAAGGAAAACAAATCAAACCAAAGGAAACCGAAGGAAACCAAAGGAAACCATAGAATCCACCTAGTCCCAAACCAAAGGAAACCGAAGGAAACCAAAGGAAATCAAAGGGAATCAAAGGATACCAAAGGAAAAATGATATAATCTAAGGAAAACTGATTTTAGCTATTTCCTTTGTGTTTGTTTTTCATTGCTTTCCACCCACAATTAAAAACCATAATATTTTGGCCCAACTCATGCGTTGGAAAGGTTGACACTGCTAGCTTTTGGTCCATACCTGGGTGGAAATGTGAAACACCTGTTACAGAAAACACACTTGTACTAATAGGGTAAGAAAAGAAAACAGAAGAAAACACACGAAAACAAGAGGTTTTCAAAGGAAAAGGCAGGATGATCAGAGGAGACCATCGCTATGATAAACTATACCGAAACAATTGAAGACGCGACCCAGTGTCTGGGGACAACAGTAATAAGCAGATTTTCATTTTACACATTTTTAGGGGTAATAAGCAGATAGATTACCGGCGAGTGAGGCAGTTGAGCAATCTGCTTGTCTGCCGGCAGGGGAGGAAATCTGCTTATTACCCGCCCGTGACTATAAATCTCCTCTTGTAGAGCCCTGCACCTGGTTCCCCCTGGTTCCGCCGCGTCTGCAGCTGCTGGAGCATCGTGGCCACTTCCGCCTCGCGGAAGACCTGCCGTGCCGAGGCTACCATGGGAAACCTCCATAGGTTTTATGGGATTTTTATGAGATTTATATGGGATTTATATGGGATATATATATGGCTTGAATGGGACTTTAATGGGATATTAATGGTTTATTCATCTTCATAAGATTTCATAAGATTTCATAAGATTTCATAAGATTTCATAAGCCCCAAAATTGGAAGTCTAACAGTGAATTTCATTTGTGGTTGTTGGTGATATATGAAGGTGTCCATCAAGGTACCCCAAGTCACCATGGTTGTTTCAACACTGAACTAGACTAATTTAGGAGACCCTAAATTAAGGTTTTGCTCGATGATTTTAAGAACATATGAACTTTGTGTAGGTTGCAGATGTAGAGGGATCACAATCATGTTGATGTTTTTCTGATGAAAATCGTCAGCGAAACTCAAGCAAGTCATACAGGTTTGATCAGCTAAACCCATAATTCATATAGGTTTTCCTAAACAGTTCTTCATTCGAAAAATCGGGGACAAGGTTCACAAATCAGGTGTTTTTGAAGGAAAAATTTTTTGGGTGCAGGGGATCTTATTCCACCACAACATCCCTAAGGTTTATTCTTGAATTTTAGGAAAACTACCCTGATGAATCTTCTTCAGCCAAGCAACAATTTTTTTCGGTTCATATTGACAAAATTGGAATTTAGCCCACTAAACCAGCGAAAAAAAATCGGCTGTGACCAACCGTCTTTTGGCTGGAGATGTACCAAAAAAAACGGGATGCTGAGCTGACTCATGCTGATGGAATTCACCTTGGAAGTTGATCAACAACGATGGGGATTTAGCCATGGAACCACGACCATGTTCTTCTCGGTGGAAGACGAGTCATCCTGGTTTCACGGAAAATTCCGTTTAAGCGTCCTTCTGAAAAATTGGCAGCCGCTAAAAAATACCAAATCTAAGATCCAATATGATCCAATCCATTGAAATACGATTTTAAGGTAGTAAATTGAACTTGTTCTGTCTTTGAGGGGGTTACCCTCTGGTTATTTAACATAGCCATGGAAAATCACCATTTTTCATAGGTAAACCATCTATTTCTATGGGCCATTTTCCATGGCTATGTTAAATAACCAGGGGGTACTATATCTAAGGTCAATACATGTTGGAGTCTTACAACCTCATCAGCCCGTCCCAACCTGTGAAAATTTGGCGAAAGGAAAGCTACCTGTCGCGGTTGCTGAGAGACACGCCTCGAAAAATTCCAAGGGAAGATGAGGTAAGTGTCATAATCCCCGTTTTTTATTCACGTAGGTTATGATGTATATGCTGGTAAAGGTCCCTATATCAGCCAATCAACCTGGTTTTCTTGTTCATGGCTCATTTGGGGATGGGTCAAAACCTTGTACCCCTTCTGTTCACATCAAAATAGCTGGGATTTATGGATGTTCATCCCACTAAAAATGGTATTTTCATAGGTATTGATCCATACCCATTTGGGGATACAAAGGGTCACCATCCTTCGGGTTCGGTCGGCCCGGCGAAACGCCTGGTTGAAGACATCCGAACTTCTCCATCATGTCACTGAGTCGGAGTAAGGCTGATCGTAGCCCCGAAGTCTGGCTTTCTGTGGTACAGCACCATTTTAATCCATTTTAGGGTCCTGATATTCCCATTGAATATATATATATATTGAATTACTAATTACTAGGGTTCCATGATGTTCCATGGATAATTACTAGGGATCATTTAGCCATTGAATTACTGGTTCCATGGTTCCGTGGTTGCCAGAGGGATAATTCTGGAGATCTCGAGGACTAGCAGCCGAGTTTTGATGATTTCTACCAGGTGATATAACTTCCCAGGTGTTTCATCCCAGGTTTTTTCCTTTGCAGGAGGCATTCACGAGGATCCCGTGAAAGGAATATGAAAATATGAATGGAGATGATTCATTTCCCAGGTGCGGCAGACAGCTATAAACATCTATCAACTATAAACCTAGCGAAGCTTTGCCCCATTTAGGATATCCTCAATGGCGATTCAGACAGATGTCTAATATGTGCCATGCCCATGGATGTGGATAAGCCTTGTCCCCATTGCAGTTACATCATCATCCTGTCTCCACACAACTCCATTCAGAATCGCCCATCAATTTCATCAATTCTTCATCAATTGTTCATCATCATCATCATCATCATCATCCTCATCCTCATCATCATCTCTCCACAATGACCATCCTTGCCATCGCCCATCACTTGCCATCTGCTTTCTTCATGGGACCATCGGTGACCATCGCGCAATGCTCCAAGAGGCTTCATGTTGTTCTGCTGCGGCGTGCAGCGTTCTGCGCCCTCCCATCCAAAATCCACCCTGGGCTGCGCTGCGGTGGTTGAGTGTTGCGTCTAGACCAATACCTGTTACTAGTGTTTCAGGAACCTGGGATATGATGTGTATATATATATATATGTATATATGTGGCTTATATGTGGATAAATAAGTACATATTATATACATGTGTGTGTACACACATGTATGTACATATGTGTATGTATATATATATATGTACATATACAGTATATATATATATACCCATAATTATATATGTATGTGTAAGTTCTGCATAAGGGAATGTCTTGCAAAAGAAACCATGTTTGCTACCTGGCCGCAGACTGGAATTGGATGATGGAGAAGTCCCCCTGGGGAAACACGTGGAAATTCCATGGAAAATTGGGGGAAAAAAAAAAACGAAAAAAGAACGACCGGTTTCTTGTCATATGCTCAATTCGCTCTAGACATTTTGGGGCTTCCCGGATTCCCAGTTTCTGATACTCCAGGTACTATAACTGACTTATGGAGTATAATATTATAGTACTATAACTATATTATTCCCAGTATAGTACTATAACTATTATAGGTACTATATTCTGATACTTATAAGCCTATAATTAATCAACCAACCCATGGCTTTTTGGACGTGGCCCACATCTTTCCCCACAAAAAACCAACCAAGCGTCCAAACGATTCGGCCCACCCTCCGCTGCAGCAGATGCAGCAGCCCTGAGTTGTCCGTCAACGCGCCATCGCAAAAGGACACCTCAGGACCTGCCGAAGGAATCCCAGGGTGCGGGACTGGGGAGAACCCCAGAAGTTGGGCTGTGCCCGAAGAAAAACTATGGTGGTATATCCACTTTGAACAACTGCACTCCCAAATCGGGTTCTGTTGTGCGGTTTTTTACAGAACAAATTGACCTAGAAAAATGAAACTCATTGGGTTCTTTTCTCTGCTTTTCAGTGTTTGTGAGGTTTGAGCCCATGGTTTTGGAGGTCTCAAAAGTGTCATGAAAAATTCTGGGAGTCTTCCGCAAGAAATGGATGGTCAAATTTTGAGACCAGGGGAGCGCTTTTTTTGATGTTCCTCAGACTAGGAATCCAGCGTTGTGCCAAGTTTGACTACCCAAATCCCAGCATTGTACCAGGATTTTGGTGAAGGAAACCATGTCATTTTGGGTGAGAAACCATAAGAAACCATCGTATCCTGTATTTCGTGCTTCAAACACTCCGAACAACCAGAGATAGCATGACTGGCAATGAGTGTCGCTAAAGCACCTCATGTTGTTGGGTTGCAAGCGCAAAGATATTGGATAAAATAGGTACAGCTAATGTACAGCTAATGTACAGCACAAACAGGGTACCAAATAGAGCACAGTTAATGGGGAGCCCCATGGGAATAGCAGTGATCCGAGTTCTCCCAACAAGGTCATATTTCAAGGATCCTTATAACAACTATAGTTCATGTCGTATTTCATAGTTATCCCAACGATATAATCATCCCAACAATCTGATCAAGTGATTTCCGAAGTCCTAATTTTTGCTAAGTCTCAAGTCACTTTGCTTGGCAAAAATCCTTATTTGGTTTTGTCTTTAAATAGGGTACCCAAAAAATCTATTTTTTTTTGTTATCATATTGCCGACAAAAAATCGCAACTGCTGGGGAAAATTTGCTGACTCTTATAGAAAGGACCCCTATTGTAACTGAAATATTCACTTAGAACATATTCTGTATATTTGCTGATGCTGAAAAATGCGGCTTCTAAATCATGCTCCAGGTTGATTATCTGAGTATTGTCACTAAGAACATAGCAACATATTTTCCTAAGTGGAAATCTTGCCACTTGTTCTTAGCAACTATGTTCCAACGATTATTTTCCATATGCATCTTGGTCAAAACATTGTGGTCTGTGCCGGTCTGTAGTCATCCCAGCATCATTAAGTCATGGGAGATTGGATGATTTGAGGTGCCCCCCATGACTGGGGGAGACTCTCCATCTTTGGAAGAATCCCAGCCATAAACCATATATTAAATACCATTTATAGATTATTTATAGGGGATGTTCCCATATATATCCATATATTCCCATGATTCTCTGTTCCTATCATCTTCCATCGTTTTTTTGTCTGCTGTGCCCCAGCCTGGGCTTGCAGCTGTGCCCTGAGAGTACGGGGGCGTTGCAAAGCGCAGTGGAAAAGATGGAAACCTTCAAAGCAAAGCAGAAAAGTTATGAAACACTTGGGTAGAATCATCATTGGGCATAATAATCTATAATAATCTAAAAGAATCTACAGTATCATCTACAGTATAATCTATCATAATCTGGGTATGGGTCAAAATTAGGTACCCCAAAATTATGGATGGTTAATGATGGTTAATACTAAACTAGACATTCACATCTGTGGTCCCCTAGGTCTTCCATTTTGACCCACATCCACTTGTTGATTTTCCATAGCCTTCATGAATGTCCATAGCTATAATTTAAGAGAAAAACTATTTATCATGACTTTTTTCAAAATAGGATAAACATCTGGTCCATTGCGAACTTGGAGAAGCAGCCAACGGTCAAGGAACGTAAAAAAGGGACGTGCAATGGTCGACCCTGTGTGGGGGGATCATCGGCCTGTGAACATCACAAAACATAGTGGTCCCATGGATGATCAATGACTCAAGGGTGTTTCTATCACTCCAAAGTGATCAGAAATTGAATTACATGTACCATATCTCATTGGAGCTATTTGAGTTATTTATCTGTTTCATCATTCCAGTTTTGTTGTTCAACATCCCGTTACAGCTTTCACCACAAGCAATGTTCACCCCTATTTAAGTCTAAATCCTAAAATGAGAGGACGTACGCCCCATGATGATCTTCACATCAAAAATCGGTGATTTTCCAGCGTGGTTCAGTTTGTAGCATATCTACTCCAGTAAATGGATGATGTTCCCGTTAAAAAAAGTGGTTTCCCAAAGATTCACGGTTTATCCCAAGAAAAATGTTGTCTTTAAGCCATGAGTCTTGACAAATGTCTGCCAACATTGGGAAATGGTTTCCAAGACCAAGACCACTATGTTCATCCATCTGCTCCATCATCCTCAAAGACATTCATTTTCCATAACCAAAATGCCTGTGGTTTCATTATTTTTTCTCCATCATCTCATGCTCTTCAAGCAAAAAAACAAACCTTCTTTGTTTTTGCCATGGTTTTTTCCCGGCAACATCTGTTATTTTTTTCCATTGGTTCCCATAGTTTTCCCTATGTTCTTTCCCATGTTCATAGAATTGGATGATGGGAAAATTTACAGGAAAACCCTATATTTGATGGTAAAAACCATGGTTTCCTGTAGATTTTCCCTTAAATCAATCCAATGACATGTTTTTTTCCCAACAAATCCTGCATTTTCCCATGGACAAAATGGCGGACCTTTCCCATCGCTTGGCGACGCGCCTTGACGGGCCAGCGCTGCAGCTCGCTGCCCCAGAGCTTGGCCGCTGAGCTGAGTCCACCTTTCGACCCAGTGACTAAGGTGACTAACTAAGGCTATGGTGGGATTGTATAATAAATATATATATATAGTATATGTGTATATATAGTATATAGTATATAGTATATAGTATATAGTATATAGTATATAGTATGTATATAGATATATGGTGAATGTATATATATATATAATTATATATATACATAGAGTATATAATGGTGTCTTCTCAGTCAGATATACAGTATAACAGTTCGCTATGGAAGCCATGGCCCAATTAGTTTCATAAAAATGATGATGTTCCACTTTATAGAATACTGACTTTCATTGAATGTCCATAGTTTGGGTGTGTAATCGGAACATCATCATAAATCACCATTGTTTAATGAAGGCTTCATGGAAAAAATATGAAGAAACTGGTGAGTTGAACAATCAACCCATGATGGCATGGGGATTTCGTGGGAATGGTCGATTTACCATGCGGTAATTTGTTGCGTAGCAAACTGGAAATTCAACAATAATATTAGTAGGAAAATCATTACAAATCATCAAACTAAATGGGCCATGGCTTCCATAGCTATGTCAAATACAGAGGGTATATAATATAAAAATGATTGTTAGGGAAATAGGTTGCTACTCCACTTCTATAGATTGCTATGTGGAATGATTTGCTATTCGATTGCTATTGTAGCCTATAGCCTATAAAAAAGTGAAATCCCACTAAAATCATGATCATTGATTTTTCTATCTTTTTCGGGGTTTTTACTACATACAATAGAGAAAAAAAAGGGAGATATGGAAGCATCCATAGAAAAAAAATATATGGATAAATCGTATGGATTGGTTTTGGGATTGATACAAAACGATACACAAGAGTTGGAAACCTGGAAAATGATGCCAAAATATCGACGAACTACCATCCTGGAGTAAATTATCTATATAAATCTATATAATTGGGTCATGTTCATCCATTTTCCATAGCTGTATTAGCAAATTACCAGAGGTATCCCAAACATGGATCTACTGACGCCAGTTAGTTTCCTAAAGTCTTAATTTTCGGGTTTTCCATGAAATAAACCATGCAGCGATTGGGGAACCCCATGACTTAGGAGACCTCCCCCGAGCTGGCTCTGACTCAGAAAAAATTGCAAGTCGAGCGGCTCAACGTCAACACATCCGCCAGAGTAAAGGGTTCCGACGGCGCCGTGAGTACTGGGCTTGTCTGTGGCCGGAGCAGTTTTGTTTTGGGCCGGGGTATGGGATTTTTCAGGCCAAAAGTTCACCCGAAATCATGCCAAATAAGCAGCAAAAAGCACACCAAAAACTCACCAAAAAGGTGATCAAAAGCCAGAAATGCTACATAACGCCTTTGTTGAGAAAACTGTTGATAGTTCAACAACGCCTTACAGAAAACTCTTGAGAAAACATCAGTAACTTCAAACTCAAAGAATTCGGAGCCTGACTGATGCGGCTCAAATCTTCGTGAACTCCACCGAAAGCGAAGGTTTGTACCGAACCTCGCGACGTGTCGCGACGCGTCGCAGCTTGGGTCATCCCGAATCGTCGTCACTGTCTTCAGTTATCTCGAAGTATGGCTGATAACTGATTCTGAGAACAATATTCAACATGTACATATATACATATATTCAACATGTGTGTAAATACTGTAGATTATTATATATATATGAATATCTGTGTGTGTGATAGTATAAAATAGTATAAACTCCTAGAATTCCTAGTAACACTAATCAACCAATGTCAACTGGTCATTGCCGAGATCTTTGGATGATCCACTCCTCGATTGCTTTCAACCCAATGGATCAGTGTCTTCAGTCAGATCACGTCAGATCTGCAAATTGGTCCACCCATCGGCACCCTACATCATCTACCCTCTGGTAATTTAACAGTTTGCTATTGAAAATGGCAATTTATAGTGGATTTACCCATGAATAATGGTGATTTTCTATAGCAAACCGTTAGTTTACCAGGCCGGGTACATCCTGTCGTCGCCTAAGATGTGCAAGGAGTCTGTCTCCACATCCCGGAAAAATGGGAAGATGATGGGCTCGTAGGTCCTGAAACTGATGGGTCAGTCCCAAGCCAACATGGGATAAGTTTGGTTTTTTCTTCACGTCTAGTATGGAAAAATGATTGGCTGGTCAATACCCTTCATCGTGTGTATATAGCCTCGAAATAAAAAAAAACTTAAGTGATTCATGCCAACATGATGGCCATTCAAGCAGCACAAATTTGGGATGTGAACAGTTCTAACCATGAAAATGTCGAATCGACAAACGTTGCCCATTCCTAAGATCACCTGTTTCTTTACGAGTCAAAGCACCTTTCTGCAAGTATTACCCTCTGGTAAACAGCCACATAACTATGGAAAATCACCATTTTCAATGGGTAAGTCCACTATTTCTATCCATTTTCATTAGCTATTTTGACATAACCAGAGGGTACTGTATCTATTTCAAGATTTGAATGCCAATGTTGGTCATCTTCAGGAGGAAGCCATACAAGTTTGCTGGTCCGGTCGTTTCGTTAGAAAAATCTGCAGTAAAGCAATGGGTTGACCAACCAAGGATATTTTTCCTGCAAACAACACCTCGGAAAACAATTTTACTTGTCATAATTTGGGTGATAATATAATTTAAATATAAATAAATATATATATATACATACATATGTATATATATGCCGAGAAAAAATGCTCTTGGGAAAATAATATATATATATATAAATTGGAGCAAACCAGTACCCAAGAAACACCATCAAGTTTGACAATCAAAAACTCCACAAATGACACAGATGATACAATAATTTTCTGAAAATTTTGGACCAATCAAACACCCATCAAAAAAGCCGAATATTCACCACTTATAGTTTGTTTATTTTGAATACATTCCCATGAACAATCTTCGGTTAACTCGTCATCTCATTACAATATCCCCTTGTCTATCCCCACTATCATTAATTTAATGGTAATTTAATGGCCTAATGATGTGGTTCATGTGAGGGTACTTAACTATTTTTTAGGGCCAAATTTCAGGCAATTTGTCCACAAATCATAAAATATGCATTGAAATTCCTACTAATTAATTACCCCAATGGCAATGCTTCACGTTTCTTTTCATATCAATTTTTGATAAACGCTAACAATACAACTGGGACACCACAACAAGATGCCAGCATGACGCCTGCAAGACACCACCGAGAGGTTCACCGATTCCTGCGGAGTCTGTGCTGCCGGTCGCGAACACCCCGCCATGGCATCGCCGTCTTGATCTCTTTCCACCCCAAATCCAAAGCTTCTTGGACCTGGTGGTAGGAGATGACGGCTTCACTTGTCACTCTCTGGAAATGCAGTGCCAATTGTTTGGCTTCCAGAGACTGCCACACGCAGCTCAGGGCATCCCTTCCAAAACCGTTCATACTGTCGTGTTGTGCTTGGATCGTTTCCAATCCGCCCCCCAGCGGATTTTGGGCTGGCTTTCGCTTCCAATCTGTTCGATTGAAAATGCTACAATTGTGGCGACGTGGCATGGGCCCTACGATCTCTTGGAGCAGCTATTGCCAGTGTGTGAGTGTGTGTGTGTGTGTCTGTCTGTCTGGCTGGGCCGTGGGCAGTTTGTGCTGTACCTGCTCTTCTTGTGTTGAAGTCAGTTGGTGTGGAAAATTTGGAGTCACTTTGAGCGCTCCTGTGAAGCAGAAACCATGCTGGATCTCGTCCAAAAGTTGGGTCGCCCCGCTGTGGCCCATGTGCTGAATCTGATGTCAGTTGCTGCATCACTGAGAGACCAACACCACCATTGGCACCACCGTACAACCTATACACCAAAGCACCACCAAGACACCACCCAAACACCCCCGACAGCACGGACCATGGAGCATCACCGAGACTTCACCGAGGCCCGTCCTTGACCCAAAGGTGGCAGGCCCAGTGATGAGCGACGCTGTCCTCGGGAACGTTTGAACGAAAGTTCCGGCCGTCGTTTTTCGGGAGGCACCAGGATATTGGGGAACGTTAAACAGGGAGAGAACCGAATAAGTGTAATGTTAATGGGATATGGGTGGGATATGATATAATAGATGTTTTTTTGGGTGTATGTATATATATATATATATAGTGGAAATTAATTTGTACATTATAATTATGATTACAATGGGATAAATAGATGTGTATATATATATATAGAACTGACATAACTGACAATATGAGGATATACGCGGTAACGGGATCATCGACCATGTTGCGGTGATATGTATATCTATCTATATCTGTATATATAGTCATATATCATGGGATATCTATTATAGATATAATATATCAAAACATGGAGATCACCAAGCAGTACATAGGATACCAGTGGCATGGTACATACTAAGCCACCCTGCTTGGGAGATCAGTTTTATATCGTGTAAGGGGATACCAATGGGATGTTGACCCACAATGAGGATAGATGGGATGTACTGGAGAGAGAGATATGTCATGGGACTATAATGTCATGTCTATCTCTGGTTGTTCCTTCACCCCAGTTAGCAAGTGAGCTATAACCCAAGTCATAAGTAGGGTTAGTAGGGCTAGTCCAGTTGCAATTGAGGTTATAGCCCACCTTTTAACTTGGGGAACCACTATATTGACCAAAAAAATAGAGTTTAGTACAAAATCAAAGTATTTCAAAAATTCAGTGGTAGATTCAACTTGTTTCTATCTTTTTTGGCGGGTGGTACCATATACTTGAACGGTTTGGTGTAAAACCAACCAAACCTGTTCTTAAAATATCTAAATAAATTTGTAGGACCAACTAAACCAAGAACTGAGTTAAAGCGAGAGCTTGGATTTGATGGTTTCCTAAAATGGTGGTACCCCCAACATCATCCGCCTTAATGGGATTTTCCGTGAAGTAAACCATCCAGCTATTGGGGTACCCCATGTCAGGAAACCCTACCAGAGATGGTGATGATTTTTTCTGTACCTGGTCCACGTCCCCAACCGTTGGTAAAAACTGTTCTCAACCAGCAGAGTGCCAAATCCGACTATTTAAAGTAATGAAAATACCTGTTTTTAGAGTCCCAATTGCAAGAATCCACCAGCCAAGCCCCGTATGGACGCCCAAGTGACATCTGGAAGGGCAACTGATTCTCTTCAGCAACCAAGCTTCCGCCAACCTCCAGTGCTGCCGTTGGCATATGATCAGAGAATGTTTGATGTGGCTGCTTAGCCGGATAGGAAATAGCTTCGAATACAAATGTCTAGTCATTGGAGTCTAGTCCCTGATTTTTCTTATACTTTAAGACTTCAATGGGAATTCCAGGATCCAAAATGGAGGTATATACGTTAGTACCATATGTTTGGCCATATTTTGTGTTGATATGTGGTGATATTCACTTACATAGGCCTGAAAAATCGGCCGACTTCGGCCTGAGAAATCCATGGTGAAGTTACAGCTTTGGCTCCCTGTCTAACGCGACACGCTGAGGTCGAAGAGTTTGAACCAGTTTTTGAAGGGAAGCCTCTAACTGACCAGGAAATCTCACTGAAATCTTGCGGCAAACCCATCCAATTTTGGTCTACATATCTCTCCATGTCCCAGTTTCTGTTGGCCTTGCAAGCTTTTTGAAATCAACCCAGCTTTGTCCCAAACGTCCACACAATTAACCCAGCTCCCGACCAGTCGATGTGTAAAACTTACGATCAACGGATTTAACAACTGGCTTCGCCCAGGTTCCAAGGGACTTGCTAACTACAGTTCCTCTCCGATCAATTGCAAAATTTGGCATTGCTCAAAAATGACTTGATTCGGGAAAAATGGTGATATCGGTCTGTCCGAAAATGGGACAAACAGCTATCTAAATCCATAGGCCATACCGTAGGATTTGCGGGTTTTCCCCAATTTCTTCAAACTTAAATCATCCATGTCCTCAAGGGTTTTGACCCTGGTTACGAACTGGTTCAACTGGTTTATTCATAGCTATTCCAAAATGGTGATACATTTTCGATGGTTGCGAAATCCAGTTGGAAACTATTGGGGTTCCTTTTTTCACCATATTCACCATCTACCAACTGGGAACCCAGTTGGCCATGATGTACCATCCCATTCGTTTCGTTACCATCATTTCCCATGGTGTTTAGACTGGGATTCTCATGGGGACCATCCACCAACGGCCAAGTGGCCACCCAGGTGGGTCGATCCGTACGGGGCAAGAGGAACTTTTCGTCCTGTCGATGTGTCACACTGGGGGGGGGAAAGCTATCCGAATCATCCCCCGAAGAAAATGGAGCTTTAGAGCTGCGGAAACCATCGCTCAATGGAGATTTTTGCTGGGAAATTCATCTAGAAATGAGATTTATAGCTGGGAAAATGATCTACAAATGGAAGTATTTGATGCTGGGACAATCATCTCTGTATATGGATAAATGCTCAGCCTCCCATGTTTGATTGCCGCGAGGTAAACTATTTTTCTTACCAAAGTCAGCTGTTAGCTGACCTGTTTAAGACATAAATTGGATTTTTTTCGAGATGCTGGGGGGATTCACACTCGCGTTGCGATCTTTTTTCTCACCAAAACACAGGCTTACCTTTTTCTGACCTCGCCGTGTAATCCGGCCTGGCAGGACAATCCCATGAAATTGGATCACTTACCGATGTTGACTATAATAATTATGGTGGTACTTCCAAAAAGTGACACCATTAGAAATTATTATGGGAGTAATAATTATTATAATTATGGCGGTACTTCTAAATAACTCTGCTAGAAAAAAAATCTATTAAAATGGGACCCCCGCCAATTGCACTCGAGGGTTGTGAAAATCCTGGATACGGAAGGAAACCCCATGTTTCAAGTCGAGTGTGTGTGTGTGTGTCATGACAAACAAAAAAATACAAAATGGATAGCCACCATCAATAAGACGGTCAGTTCAGCGGACGTTCACGATCATCCCACTGATCTGAGTTGCTGTGGCCAACCCCATGATGTTTCAACGATGATTTGTATTAACATCCCCATGTTTGTTGGCTGAAATGCCTATTTCTTGGTTGCTTGAAATTTCTATGTCTTTGGGAAGGAAAGTCATTTTTGTTTGCAAACCATACATCATATCCCCATGTTTCTGGGGTTTGAATTCCCGTGTTTGGAGTTGTGTCATGTTACCATCGTTGTTGGTTCAAGTTGAAATCCTATCGCTGTGTCCGAAAACGAGGCCCAAAACTACCATAATCATGGCATGGCAAAATAATGATAAAACATCATAAAACATATATATATATAGGTTGGAGTTTGTCCCGTAATTCAAGACACACCCCTGTACCCGGCAATCAACCATAGCAATTGAAAATCCATCGTTTAGTTCGATGATTTTCCCATTGAGACCCCCATTGATACTGATTTCCCAGCCATGTCCCGCGCTGGTTCCTGCATCTTGGGGTATTGATGCACAATTCGACGATGATCCTGTGGGGTGGGGCTATGGATAATGACCTTGTCAATGATTGCCACCCACTATATTTCCAATGCTATGGAAAAACACCACTCCACTAAGTTTATTAATGTTATGGAAAACACCATCGGTCACCGCTAAACCATGGAACTAAATAGTCCATTTTCCATGGCTATGTTAGTTTACTGGAGGGTGTGAATTGGTGATGAACTTACTAATGAACATCATGAAACTTTGATGAGTTATGAATGGATTAATGATGATCATTGGTTTACTGACAATTATTGTAAATTATAAGTTATAAGTTTGTTAATGACTGTTATGAACTGTGGGAAATAATTTTGTTTTTTGATGGTAATAGATATCACAGAACGATGCTGAATATTAATCAGTTGGCAGCCAAATAATCCGCAAGTTTATGGATGATGTTGATGTTCGATCACCAACTCTAAATGAGATAGTTGCAGTTGATGCCACGATACCCGATAGACCGGTAGACCCAAGACAAAAAAAATCATTCCGGACAAAAATGTAATTGCTGATGGTTCTTCAATTTTTGAAACTATACAATCGTGTTTTAAATTGTTTACCACCTGATAAATAATACCTGGCGCTGTACCCATCGAGAAAACAAACCATTGGTGAAGCTCTCAAGATTTGGACCGTAGTTCGTATCGGATGTGCATCCCATATCCAGGGGCCATCATTGGGATAGCCCCATTTCCTTCTTCCTTGACACTCAAAAACAGCGCACCCCATATCCACAAAACACTGAGATGATGAGATGGGCATCCCAGGATCGTGAGCGATTCATCGCGTTCATGTTCATGAGTCCCTTAACTTGAGATGTGGGGGGCAATGCCCATGGTTCATTGACAACCTATCCCCAAGGACACCAGCTCCATGGCTGCAATCAAGATAGAAGTCGATAAACATCAGGTAACCCTACATACAGCCACATCGGCCATTACTCTCGGTTACCCTAGTTTCGGAAAAAAAATCAAAACAAATGTGGATTTTCCGGCCAACCACATGTCATGACCAGAGGGTATACAAGCTGGGTCCCGCTAGGGAAAACCCTGATTGCGTATAAAAAAGGGTCGCAGCCGTTTAGGGATGAATCCCAGTTTTACATGGGTCATTAACATCTATCGCCCCACTTATCTTCGAGATAAACTGCGCGGAGTATGTATACATTGTGTGTATCCACATTTCTTGGCAATAATGCTGGCACAACCCTTTTTTGGCCACGCTCCACCTCCATGGATGTCCACCCCTGGATACTAGCCATTATCAACCGTGCCTACTTCATGCAATTGCAAGTACAGAAAGATACGCACAACACGCCCCCCAGTTTCTGCGTTGCTTTTGTTTTAGGCAATGAGTTGAAACTAGTTTTTTAATTTCATGATTGCATCGATGCGACTCTTTACACTTGTAGATATTCATTGTGTTCTTTAATTTTCCCTAATATCGTACGCACTCCATCCAATCTAAATAGTGAAACATGCAGTGTAAAGTGAGTCACCCCCGCCGATCCATGCGGAGAAGCAAATGGAGCAGACTAAATAACTGCAAAATCAATTTGGCAAGGCATGCCTCATGCACTTTGGCTAAAAAAAAAAGTTGGTGCAGCTGACTGGTCCTTTTTCCTCAAACAGTGTGTCCACACTGAGGGATTCTTACAGGGAGTGTAAAGGCCAGTGCTTGATCAGGGCGTTCCAGCTGGTCTGTGGCATTTTACCTGTAAATTTCCGCATAAAATGGTTGTTGTGAAATGTCAAGTGCATTTCGACTGTGCAGGCTCGCACAAAGTGTGGTCCCCGGTCTTGGTCTGCGGCATTTTTCTTGTAAATTCTCGCACATCGTGGCTCTTGTGAAATGCCCAAGTGCATTTCGACTGCGCAGGCTCGCACAAAGTGCGGGTCCCGGTCTTGGGATCCGTTCTCCTCCTCAACATCATCATCCGCCAATTCATCTTTGCTCAGATGTGGATGATCAGTAAAGACTCTTTCTGAATGGGATCCTATTTGGTTATATAATTGTTTGAGAAGGATACTCACCTGGGTTGGCAATTCAACGGTGCCGAAAAATATAAAGGAATTAAGGTATATTATACACCGCTGCATCTTTTCTGTCTTGCACATGCGCCATCCGTTTGCGCCAAGACCTTAGCCGCCAGGAATTTATGAAAAATTGTGTTACGTACAGATTCTTCGTATGTTGCGGTGTCATGATACAAAACATAGTTAGATAGAACAACGCAATTTAATCAGGATTTAAATATAAATGTATATATATATATTATGTAATATTATATATATATAAATTTATATAAAGCTAAAACAATGAAAAAATTAGGCCCATAGTGCGTTCCACTCTCTGTAGTTTTGGGATGCCAGTAAATTCATGGAAAAGCCAACATTTTTTTTGATCCCCAAGAACTGGCTACGACGAAAAATTGACCCATCTATGGATAATTTAACTGGTTATTTGACATAGCTATGGAACATATTGGCACATGGCCTATAGAGTTCGATGTTTTCTGGGTGATTTACATATCAACCACTGAATCATAGCCAGCTCGCCTTGTTGCTGTTGGCCAAGAAGTAGCGGTCGTGCAGACCATAGGGGATCAGCCACAAAGCGGCCACCCGTTGGATCAAGTCCTGTGGAGAGCTTTAGCGGTGCGGCTAAGGTGCTGCGTTAAGTGTAACTCCACTATATAGTTAAGTGTAACTCAGTTATAAGTTGGTTTATAAACCCCATTAACTATAGTTATATCTACCATAAACCATAGTTATTGGAGTTATAAACCAACTTAGCTAACTATATAGTGGAGTTACAAGGTGGTGCCCCAGTTCGTTAGCTAAGTTGGTGCAAATAACTCCCATTTCACTATGGTTTCTGGTATAGATATAACGAACTAGTTTTCATGGGGTTTATAAACCAACAAACATCACTGAGGGGCACCACATGTATAGTTATAGCTGTGTTAACGAGGCCTTATATAGGTGATATAACATGATATAACCTCAATAAGTATGGTCCAGTATGGTGTATAACTTTAATAACTACGGTTTGTGGTAGATATATCGAACTCGTGAATGGGATATATATTTGTTCAAAACAATATCATTATGGGTCCCACCTTCTATGGGGATAAACCCAACGATAGTGCGGAAATAATGGTGATTCAACATGGGAAATTAGGCTTCCAACAAAATGGCGATCAGACTATGTGGGTGTGTATCTACATTGGTTCCATCAAAAATGCTGATACAATGAAGGTAGAAAATGATTTAGCAACAGTCTGGATTTTAGAGCAAAATGAGGAGTAAAGCCAGCAATGTGGGAAATATGATGGCATGTCTACATATGTATATTACATATTTGTCTATATGCAGTGTGTGTATATATATATATACACTCTATGATAGGATATTTAGATCCAAGCACACGCTTGGAAAAAGAACATGGAAGCCACATCAACGATGGCCGTCTCCAAGCGCGGAATTGTCAGTGGGTAGATCTTTGAAAAATGTGTGGTGCCACTAAGAAAGAACTTCCATTACTCTTCAATTTGTGTTTGTTTTGTTCTTGTCAGTCTTGTTGATAGATTGATTGTGTGTTAACATCATGGCAGATTAGGTCTCTGGCCGCAAATACCATCCAAAGATTGTGGATGTTGAGAATTTCCACAGAAGAACATCTGCCAATCAACAACAATCGCATCTCTTTATTGGCAAAAATGGAGTGTTCCTGAGTCAAAAAAAACAAGATCCTGGAGTTTGTCCAAGGCTGGGTTTCTCAGCATGAACCCGAGTGAGCTCTCCAAACGGCGATGGCTACCCTTTGGTAATTCACATAACTGGTTGGTGGTTGACCTACCCCTCTGAAAATAATGATTTAGTGGGACTTTATAGTGATTCAATGGGATATTAATGGGATATACTCTCTGGTAAACTAACAGTTTGCTATCAAAAATGGCCCATTGAAATAGTGGATTTACCCATGAATAGCATGGTGATTTTCCATAGTTATGTGGCTGTTTACCAGAGGGTACAAAAATACTAAAATTCATCATTTTTTACAAATATGAGACATCGCACTAAATGGGCAATGGTCATCCATTTTCCATAGCCAACTGTAAGAAATTACCACTCCAGTTGTCCATGTTCCATAGCATGCTTCTTGGTTATGTTCCTAGTATCAACCATTGTTAGCCATAGATTTCACCCAGATAGCATTTCGATAGCTGCAGCTCATGACACCCAGCCTCGACCTTCATGGGTCCCTTCTCAGGCTGTGTGTCCTGATTCAGTGATTCTTGGGGAATCCTGGGGGATGAGGGCTTATGAAATATGACCAGTCGGGCGAATCTGATCAGGCCTAATTTTTTTAACCATCAACCAATCATCAGGGCGAATCTGATCCATCTGATCCATCTATTGGGCATCACCCTTGGGGCTTGGCCCATCCCGATGTTCGGAGGCCGTGTTTTGGACGTCAGATTCGGAGGCTGAAACGGGTCACATGTGGATGGATTTTTCTGGGCATGTTCCATTGGCAAAAAAAACACACCATTGGCCAACTTGGAAATGGGGTCTTTCCATCATAAATCTACCCGAAAATCAGACCCAGATTAGGCTTTGTCAGAGGGAACAACGCCTCCAAATTGCCAGCTTGGATTGCACGAAAAACGTGTCAACCCAGCTTGAAATGGCATCCATATTTTGGCAGATTAAGACCATGGGAAAATTCCAGATGTTTACTGTTAAATTATGTTCAATCAACTTAACTCCCTAGATGTTCTCAAAAAAAACTCGAAAAACTCAGGTTCCAAACAACATGTTTATCCTTTATGTTCATTCCGCTGCCGTCAGTTTCGCAGCTCTTCGCGGCCCTAGTAGCAGCATGGATAACTATGTTAAAAATAGAATGGCTTCAAGAACATGAAAAAGGATTGGAAAAAAACGAACAACAAAACGCTTTTCTAGTCTGTTTCGAACATAAAGATCAACTGGCAGTGTGTCAAAACCTTGTACCCCTGGTGAACATCAAAATAGCTGGTAAATGGATGTTCATCCCACTAAAAATGGTATTAATAGGTATTGACCCATACCCAACTATATTCACACACCAATGGAAACAAAACATGTGGATTCAACTACCCCAGAGTAGTGACCCTGAAAAAAAGACCCAGATTTTTTTGGGATCTACCCCAGCAGCCCATTGAGTCCGATCTTATCATATAAATATCTACAGCAAAGCTCCCAAAAAGATAGAAAGGTATACAATTCCTACTAAAATAGTGGAACATGTTGGAAACGTACTGTTCTATTTTTCGAAAAATGTATTCATATATGGATGGATAAATTATGGATAATAATTACTACCAAGTAGCCAATTTCCCTGTACCTGGTACAGTGGCTGTTGTGATGTTCCTTTCCATATATCGTGTACAAATAACACAATTGGAATTACTACGAATTCTGGGTTGCAATAACAATTGTGCAATATACCCAGTGATTCCTTTTTTCATCACAAGGTAACCAGTGATTGGACTATGTACTATTTGCGATGAATACTAATATCACTTTGTTAAAGTCAGATACCCCAGTAATTCATATGGGGGGGTTCCTAAAATCGGGCTACCCCTAAATCATCCATTGAAAATCTCAAGTTGTTACTTTCTAAATCAACCAGCGAGCTTGGGGTATTCCCCATTTATGGGGAAACCTCCATATATCTAAGATTGGCTAACTATAATGATTGGGCAATCCTGGGTTTCCATACATAAATTAACTACGATGATTGGCTAGTTATAAACCATTATATAACCCCATTCATATCAACCCTACCATATATATATATATTATATATATATCATATAAATTGGATAGCATATACCATATACCAGTGAACTCATTTACAAATATATACCATATATGATTTGCAAAAAAAACACCCATTTACCAAACCCTTCAACCCTTCAACTCTCTTTCTTCGGCCTCCCTGGCCGGCCGCTCCACGGTGCTTCGCATCAGCGGCACCGGCCTGGCGTCTAAGACCTGGTCGAAGAAAAACGACGGGTCAAAACCAGGTCTGGTTGGTGGTTTTACCCGTTAAAAGCTATTGAAAATGGCCATTTATAGTGGATTTACCCATCAAAAATGGTGATTGTCCATAGTTATGTTAGTTTACCAGAGGGTATGGGAATTATAAAACCCTCTCGTAATTTAACATAGCTATTGAAAATGGCCATTTATAGAGGATTTAGCCATGAAACCTGATGAATTTCATAACTGGTTGGTGGTTGACCTACCCCAGTATTCAATGGGATTTATAATGATTATAATGGGACTTTATAGTGATTCAATGGGATATTGATGGGATATACCCTCTGGTAAACTGACAGTTTGCTATTGAAAATGGCCATAAAAATAGTGGATTTACCCATTAGAAATGGTGATTGACCCATTAAAAATGGTATATCATCTGGTTGGTGGTTGACCTAGCCCTCTGAAAAATGATGGAGTGAAAGTCAGTTGGGGCCCGATGATTATTCCCAATACCCTCTGGTAAATTAACATAGACCCTGGCAGATAGGGGTTGGAAGACTCGTTTCCATTAAAAATTGGTGATTTTCAGGGTCTATGTTTATTTACCAGAGGGTATATGGGAAAATAAATTTCATGTTCCAAACCACCAACCAGTGGTCCTTGAATCGAAGCGGCCGCAAAAGTGTGATTTGACCAACTAAAGAATTGGTTTTACTCACCACAATGTGGGTATTGTGTACCCACAAAACAATTGGGTTTTACCAACAAACATAGGGGTTACACCAGCAAAAAATGTGATTTGATTTAGCCAACAAAACTTGCGGGTTTGACATTTGACGAAGAAAAAGGCAAAATCTTGCGGGAAAATCTTGCGTGTGAAACCAAAAGATTCAGGAATGTAAACAATAAAATGGTGCTTGTTACGACCAAAAGAAGGGGTGACCAAATAGAGTTCCCACCAAAAGAGGTTCAGTTCCCAGGGTTCCCACCAGCTACATCAGTTCTGATCCCACCGAGGAAACCTGTCGCGAAAGATTTCTGTCTGGTTTTCCCTGTTCCATGGATCTAGATCTGGTGAAAGATGGTAATGGGAAATAAATATCATGTGTTTATAGGAGGATACTCTACAAACTTTCAGCGGAAGAAAAAAAGGGTGATTCCATTGCTATGTTAGATTGCCCTTATCAGTAGAGTGGGGAGTAAAGCTCAAGTATATAACTGGTTGGTGGTTTGAACCCCTCTGAAAAATAGTAGTCAGTTGGGATGATGACATTCCCATATATTATGGAAAATAAAAAATGTTTGAAACCAGCAACCAGTAGTGCTTTGATTAAATCATCATGTATCATAGTATGCCCGGTCAATTCTAAGGGTTCCAATGTCGAGGGATCGGATGTGCTTTGAACAAGTTTCTGCTTGTCTAGTTTCCCGCAGCTTCCAAAAGACTTTATCAGAAGACATTGCAAATAAACATACATATATACATATACACATACATATATATATACATATACACATACATATATACGTATATTATACATATATATATGTATATTATATATATATATGGTATATGGGATATCATAAAATATACCATAGTGCCTATACCTAATCTGGATCTTTGATTTTTTCCCCGCCTCCAAGGTCAAGGCCTCCGGCACGGTGCGGTCTCCCAAGAGATGCATGGCGCTGGCATCGCTGAACCTCGAGGTGTCACCGGAACCGAACAAAAACGCCTCGAAACGTCCCAGAAATGTGGGGAAAATGGTGGTTTTATGTGTTTTTTTTCTGGATTTTCGGATGTTTTCAAGAGTTGGGGTGAGTTATGACCTGTATCACAATATATAGTTGTAATAGAAGGCAATTCTTGCGGGTATCCCATGCAAGTATGGGCTAGTATCCATGTATAGGTGGGACTCCACTGGGTTTGTCCTGAAATTGGATATATTCAAAACTTACCGTTAAATTGCTGAGGAAAACATGGGAAGAACGTGGTTTGAAATCATGCGATAGAATGCTGTTTGGAAGATGCCTTGGGTTTTTTGAAAAGGGTGAGCCGACATGACAAGCATGGAGTGGAGTTGCAAGATTTCGAGGAAAGAAAACTGGATCCTGGCCCCCGACAAGTGCGGTTTTTTGTTGAGCATGTATTCGTGAAAACCAACCACTATTTGGATGATGACTACTAGTTGCAAGCAGCCCTTCATACGCTGGTCTCAAGTCAGATTTCTACATGTGAAGTATTTTGTTATAACTATTGGTTATAAATTATGAGTTATTGGCTATAATATATATATATATGTATCAGGAAATCGTAGAATTTCAGACTTTAGTTTAGCCTCTAATCAGATTTAATTCCCTACTATGGATGGCACGTCCAAACCACTGGTGTATGTCCACATTAAAGCACTAATCAGTATAAGCCAACAACCAATAATGATCCACCATCATGTATGTATACATATGCATAAGTAAGTAAGGGTAGCAACACTTAGTAACATCCAATCCGGGGAAAAAATGACATGAAAGGTATAAGTTAGACCCTGGTTTTCTGGCATTTTTTTGTGGATTAGAACATTCCCATACTCGTAAATACTGGAAATGTTGACCTGTTCTATCCTTCTTGGGGGGTTACCAACTCCGGTCCCCGGTTCTTTTCATCACAGATAAGTTGGTTTTTGGTTACCAAGTTAAGACTTTCACAACCTCTTCGCGCCGTCGCATGGGATGACTGGAGTGACTGGAGCCATCCATCCCTCTGGGAAAACAAGCCATGGACAGTCATCGATGTTGTAGATTTGGCGGCTACTAAGCCATAGACCGCACGGATGTTATGCTAATCCATGTACTAAATCTACTCTAAAAGCCACAAAAAATCTGCCATATACTTTAAACGAGCCATAAACGCAGGATATATCTGCCATAAACCAGTTCTGGATATAGAATCATACCCAATGAAACTCTGATTATGGGATATGTATGGTTTATGAAATAATATATGAGGCATTATGAATATATATATATATATTGTCAACCCTGGATTAATAAACCCCAAACGGCTGTTTAATTTGGGTACCATTTAAGTCAAGTATCAGATGAAATGACTATTGGGGAAGTACCCTCCTAGTTAATAAACTGTAACTTTGGTTTATTGATCCGGGGTTGACATGAAATTATTCACTGGCCTGAAAAGTTCGACCCGCCATGGGGATGATTCCCAGCAATCTAACCATTCCAGGCTTCGGTCGCGATGTGAAATTGTGTTCCTTTCAATATCATCAGATTATTTTATGTATATATATATGTATATATATATATATATATTTATATGTATATATATATATTTATATGTATATATATATATTACTTACATTAATACACAGCGAGAATGTCCTTAAAAATCATGTTTTTGTTTAGCATGAACCATCGATTTTCCCACCATTCATATCCCATTCGCTGCGGACGTTCTCCAAGCGACACATAGGCTGCGGTGGCCCATGCGCTGCCGCCTGCCACGCTGAGCTGCGTGAAATCCTTGGCCAAGTTGAGGTCTTCCAAGGCCCGGAGAGCGCCTCACGCGCGAAAACGTGAAAAAAAACCCGGGAAACCATGGGAAACCCTGAAAAAATTGTTAAAAATGATGGGAAAATAGCGTGAAATTCCGAATCCAATGTTTTTTGATGATGTGTTCAATTCTAATGTAATCATCTTCCCAGGTTTTCTGAATGAAACCCGAGTTTTTGGGCGTCAATAACGGAGTTTCCGTTTTTGGGAAACTCTGAGTTTCCTGAGTTCGGTTGGCTCGCCTCATAGGGAAGATTGGATACAACCAGAACTGTCCTTTTTCCATCGGTCGATTGAGGGTTCCTCCCATTCAACGACCTTTATTGCTAGATGACAATGACCATATCAGTTACAGTACCCTCCAGCAATTTCACACATACTGAAGCCATGGCCAGCTATAGTTCGTTACCTATCTCAAAATGGTGATGTTCCATGGCAAACTGCTAGTTTGCCGATTGTAAATGCTGTGTGTTTCTTCTTATAAATGTTGATTTTCCATAGTGATGCTGTGGATGGTTGCGAAATCCTGCACCAGTTGGCAACCGTTAGGTAACTATGAAACAGAAATTCATGGGATTACAAGGGGATAAACCTAATGTATCTAATGTACAAATATACAATAACAACCATCCGCGATATTTCAACCTAATGTCCTCATATGGCACTGTGTCAAAACCTTGTACCCCTGTAGTTCACATCAAAATAGCTGGTAAATGGATGTTCATCCCACTAAAAATGGTATTAATAGGTATTGATCCATAGCCATATAACAACCTAATATACCAAATGGTGATTCGGATTTCGCTGGCCATCCCCCATTTTTTCGTTTAAAAAGGCGCCTGTGGCGGCGCAAGCTGCGCTAAGTCCGCCGCCAGCGATGCACAAGCCCACCTGGTGATGGCCAATGTAGACCGACTCCATGGATAACATCCGTTTTTGAATGGTTAATGTGGTGAAACTAACGGATAGTAAATAAGCATAAAATAGAAAGTTGATAGTCAATTAACCATTTAAAATGGAAAAAACTAATGGAAAATTGAATGTACCCTCTGGTTATTTAAGATAGCCATCGAAAGATCCACCATCTTTAATAGGTAAACCATCTATAAATGGACCATTTTCCATGGCTATGTTAAATAACCAGAGGGTAAATGTTCATGGTTATTTACTATCAACTTACTGACAGTTTGCGAACTGGAAATTCATCCTGATTAATGGCTAAATCATGCTAAATCAACTATTTCTATGGCCTTTTTTATTCAATCGCAAAGTGTTGACCAGAGGGTTATGGTACCTACAAGTCGCATTGTGAATCAACTTGAATAAACCCACCAGTCCATATGAGCCATGGTCGTCCTACTCACTATATGGTTGATGGTCATCCCATCCATAGTAAGGATCCTTAGAATGGTTATTATAAATCCCTATGAACCATTGGATGACTAGCCCCTATTAATGGTTATTAACCATGAGTATTGACCATAGCTCATATGGTTAAAAAAAAAACAGGGGTAAATCCATGAGAATCCTCTAAGGCTTCATCCTCAATATGTCGCTGAAAACGCGCGGAGATTACAACTGGAGATGGAGATTATACCTCTGCGGAGATGGAGATTTTTGGGGGGGAATTATAGTCAGTGACATATATATATATAGTACATATATATATATAGTTATATATATATATATTCAAGAAGTCTATCATATATATATCATCAAGAAGTTTAGAGTTTGATAGTGGTGATGAGATGGGTGTCCTACCATTTTTCATGCTATGTGAAAATGCACAAAATAGTGGCGGCAGTGAACGAAATAAATTCTGGTATGACAATGGATTGGTTTAAGGGAAAATCTTAACCGGAAACCATGGTTTTTACCATCAAATTAATGGGGTTTCCGGTTAAAATTTTCCCATCATCCAATTCTATGACATAATGGTGAAAGAATCGCTGCTATATAAAACTTACTTGGGGATATCGTCACCAACTTGTTTCAACTTGCCCCAAAGACATAGCCACAAAACCAAACAAAATGGGATATGAAAATTATGAGACTTTGGTTACCCCATATGGCCTAAAGCATGACCATGTCTCTGTTGATTTTCTTTGAACCGGGTTCATATGAAATGACAGGTTGTTCAACAAATAAATCGGAAGTTTGTGTTTTTGCCCACTTAGAAACTGGGAGGTCTATGTTGTTGCGACCAAACACCGGTTGTTCACTTGGGGCAACAAAAAACACCAATGTCCAATCCACACAGAAAACGATCAGTGCCATCAACTCGGGACGCCTTTTGCTTCGGGGCATCTCCTTAAACCCTAAACCACCACCAGGAGATGTTTGTTTGGTTCATTCGTCAAAACCTTTGTCAAATCAAATTCCACAACAGCCGATGTCCGAGCAATGTGTGTTTGACTGTTTCGTGTCCGGTTTGGGAACACCACACCGATCCCAAGCGTCATCTCGATAGGTGTTTTCACTATCTTCAAAACCAGGTCAAAAGAAAAAGCAATGCAGTTGAAAGATCGTTTTAACGTTGAAAGATCTTTTTAACACATAAATCTGGGATAATCTGAACAAATTATCATAATTCACATTAATTCACTAACCTGAAAAGTTCGGCCATTTTGGATATGATTCCCCTCAATCTAACCATGATTTCCAGTCGCAGTGGTCGTTCCTTTTGCCACATCTCCAAAATCCACATGGATTGACCGCGCCCTTCCAATGCTGCCTCTGGCTTCTCCACGTCAATGGCAGGGCGCTGTTCCTTAGGGGAAAATCAGGGAGAATTCCCCTAGAAAAATGGAGTTGTATAGCTGGAAAATTCAACTACCATCTGGTTATTTAGCATAGCTATGGAAAATCCCTTATAAATGGAGGTTTCAATGGGAAAATCATCTATAAATGGGCCATTTTCCATAGCTATGTTAAATAACCAGAGGGTAACTATGTTTGATTGCCGGAGGCTAATTTTTCCGCTGAGAATGAACATGTAGGCGGAAACCAACGGTAACTTGAAGAAAACATGTCCCGTTGTGTTTTCTTGGCCACCTATTGGGAGGGGAGCAAACCGCCTTTTTCAAGAGCCACTATTCTGGCCGCCCTTGAAACGGGTACATGTGGGGGCGCCAGGTTCCAACGATTCAACGATGATAGCTATAGCAGCTAGGAAGCCCATCGTTGATTGGCACAATCTCCATAAACCCCAAAGTGCTGTTGGAAAATTTCGATGTCTTGGCTGGTGAAATACACATTTGTTTGGCATCGGTCATCGGGCTATAGTCTTGTTGCATAAATCGCCATGCTCTGTTCCTTCTATCTGAATGTCAAGTTGTTTTTTGTTGGCTCAATCCTCATGGTCCAATAACTCCTCATTCCTGTTGAATATCAAATCCACACCTTGGGTCAGGAAATTACACGTTTAACTGGTAAAATCCCCACTTCAGTGTTTGACAACTTGAAAAATCCCTTTTGAATCCACCTCAAATCTTCAGTTGGAGATGTCTGAACATTGGGTTCTACCCCAAAACAAAATATCCAAACTTGTATAATTTCTTAACAACATGTCAAGGTATGTCAAGATGATGCCCCGTGAATATGTCAGGTTTGCGGACTGGGAAATCATCATGTTCAATAGGTAAATCAACTATGTCTATGGCCGTTTTCAATAGCTATGTTAGTTTACCAGAGGGTATATCCCATTAATATCCCATTGAATCACTATAAAGTCCCATTAAATCATTATAAATCCCATTGAATACCATTAAATATGAGGCTACTGCAATAGTTTACACTACAAAGTCCCGTTAAATCAGTATAAATCCCATTGAATACCATTAAATATGAGGCTACTGCAATAGTTTACACTCTAAAGTCCCATTAAATCATTATAAATCCCATTGAATACCATTAAATACGAGGCTACTGCAATAGTTTACACTATAAAGTCACATTAAATCATTATAAATCCCATTGAATACCATTAAATATGAGGCTACTGCAATAGTTTACACTATAAAGTCCCATTAAATCATTAAAAAATCCATTGAATACCATTAAATACGAGGCTACTGCAATAGTTTACACTATAAAGATCCCATTAAATATGAGGCTACTGCAATAGTTTACACTATAAAGTCCCATTAAATCATTATAAATTCCATTGAACACATTTAATATGAGGCTACTGCAATAGTTTACACTATAAAGTCCCATTAAATCATTGTAAATCCCATTGAATACCATTAAATATGAAGCTACTGCAATAGTTTACACTATAAAGTCCCATTAAATCATTATAAATCCCATTGAATACCATTAAATATGAGGCTACTGCAATAGTTTACACTATAAAGTCCCGTTAAATCATTATAAATCCCATTGAATACCATTAAATACGAGGCTACTGCAATAGTTTACACTATAAAGTCCCATTAAATCATTATAAATCCCATTGAATACCATTAATTTCTTTTTCTGAGCAACCAAGATTGGCGCTGGCCAATCCTCCTCTTCGCAAGGGTCACAGGAGCACTTCGCACCCATGGCGAGTTTTCCACAGCGCGCATGGCGGAGGGTGAAAACTGTGGGTTTCTTTTGGATACGAACTGGGAAATAAACTCTGGAAATTTGGGGATGTACTTTTATGGATATATATTACTCCAAGAATTGCTGAACTCATTTCAAGATGTTACATGTTTTGATATGGCATATTGATGAGAATTGAGAAGTAAAAGGGGCTTTTAACATTTAATCACTTCTGGCTATCCTTCAGATATTGCAAACCAGTCGCCAGTCGCGGAATTTGTGGACAGAGCTAGGCCTTCCGATACCAGTAATGTCTCAGGAATTCCACTTTTGGGGAGGTCTTTCTTTTCTGGAACAGAATTCTTGAAAAGCTTGGTGGCCGTGCCTCTAGAAAACCGTTTCTGCGGCGCCAGTCGCGGAAGATGAGCATCTGTTCGCTGTCCAGAATCTAGTCCCCGAATGGGGGAAACGAATGGCTTGGGGTCGGCGACTGGTATAACTTTTGTTTCCATTAATCAGGTTATAGCACTGCAATTCTATGTCATGCACAGAATCGCATCTTACCATCTCATCATTTACCCTTTGGTAATCATAACATCTCCTGGAAAAGCCACCATTGATGAATTTCCCAGCTATAAACCTCCGTTCTCCCAACTAATTATAAACCTCCATCTGATTGGTTTTAACCCCTCTGAAAAATATGAAAGTCAGTTGGGATGATGAAATTCCCAATATATGGAAAAATAAAATTATTGTTCCAAACCACCAACCAGTCCATTGATGGGGAATGTTCCATATTTTCCCATTCTTTTCCCAGGTAGAATGATGCTCCAGGCCACACCCCTGGTCTGACTCGACGTCTGAATCATGGATTTTTAGAGCTACAAGAGGCGACAAATTTTGAAGCCATGCTGAATGCCTTACTGTAAGAGAATACATGTTTTAAGGTGAAGCAAATTATGACTTTATAATACTTTATAGCTGAAAATCCGTTCGCTCGCAACTCACCAACCAATAGTATGTTCTCATTCAGACATATTCACCAACCATTTGCTGATACAATGCATTACAGTAACTTTCAAAGTTAAAATCCCCATGCATGATACTCAAACTGCAATACGGTTCCATATGTTCCTTGTTTCTTGGGAATGGGATTCGATTGGGCTTGATATGCCCAATAGAAATCATGGCTGGGGGACTCATCACAAAATATCTCGACATCAGGAAGTATGATTTGCCCAGATCATAGCAGACCCTGGGAAAATGATGTTTAAAAAATTTTAAACCATGATACCTCATTTCTTCATTTTTTTCACACCCAAAATTGCTGGAATCATCTCAATCATCAAGGATATTTGATGAGATTGATATCATTTGCTCACATCATTTTTCACCCCCATATGGAGCTTTCCTAAAATAGGGGGACCCCCAATTTTTATCCATTTTAATGGGATGTTCCCTTATAAGTCCGCGAGCTTGGGGTACCCCTATTTTAAGAAACCTCCACATTGATGATGAAAGGCCTATAAGTTCTATATCCTATTGCTGGTATTCCATTTCTCCCGGCTATAATTCCCATGGACATCCCCCCGAATCATGGTGGTGGACGACCCCGTGAATTTGTTGTTGGTTAAGGCGCTACATTCATGGCTCTGATCTTGGATACCCTACCAAAAAAATGTGAGTAGATGTACATAATATATATATATATAATCCAAGTTTATGAAAAGAAGAAGTTCCCCAAGATCTGTCAGAATATATGGTAGATAATAAACTGGAAGAAATGCTTAGTAGATATATCATGACAGTCATATAAATCGCAGTTTATGGAAGAAATTTACCCAGATGTATGATAAAACTGCGATTTAAAAATAGAAATTACCAAGAAATGCTATGATATTCCAAGAAATTACCTATATAGTTTAGTGGATAAACTGGAAGAAATGCTTAGTATATCACTTAGCACCATGAAGTTACCCAAGAATTCCCCAGAGGAATCACCTGATCTCTATGGCGCTGAGAGCTGCGTCCTCCACCTGGATTCACCACAGGGATAGAATGGATGGGATATGCAACAAAAATCATGGAGTATTAACCAACAACAATAGGGATGTATACATATAAATGGTTAATCTATGGTTATCTATGGTTAATATATGGAGAATCTATGGTTAATGGTTAATAGGTACCATCTGGTTATGACTAACATAGCCATGGAAAGATCCACCATTTTCCATGGCTATGTTAAATAACCAGGGGGTAAGATATTTTATGAGATGAGAATGGGATGTAATATGAAATAATTATTAAACACCCTCCAGAAAACATGGTTTGGAAAAGATTTACACATAGTTGGGACCATAGAATTGAGATGTTATTGGGAAGGATTATGGTGTGTATATATATATATATACAACATTGTAAATGATGGTGTTTGTATTGGCAAATTATGGCAAGTGATATTGTAAATGTAAAGTGATGGCTTTGAAAATGAATGCTCCATTTACATGTTGGATTGCCAGAGGGTAAGCAGGCTGTACGACCCAAATCCATCATAGCTCATAGGGACACTTGGATTTGCGGCTGCCAAAAAAAATAGTCCGATTTGATTCACCATTTTGGATGGATTAACCCATCTGGTAAACGAACATAACTACGTATGGAAAATCCATATTTAACAGATAAATCAACTATTTCTATGGCCATTTTCACTAGCTATGTTAGTTTACCAGAGCATAATCATATCATATCGATGGGGGATGGCAAATTCACAACCACTTTTCCAGCCAACAAGTTCTGGCGAAACAAAAACCAATGTTCAGAGATGATGAGCAGTCCAAACTCATGTATGTACTGTTCGGGTAGTTCCCTATCTATCATGAAAACTTAGATCCCTGGCACTCGTGTTGTTTCCATCTTTTTCTTCGGTACACTTTCTGTGATTGCCGTACTCTTTCTACAGCATATTTGACGCTAAACCCAGATTCGTGCCTGCCCACTCACATCTTGGCATATGATATCATGTGATCACATGTTTTCATATTCCAATATGTATATCTCCTTTTGGTTGCGGATGTTCATCCTTTCATTCCCATGATCCCAGTAAAGAACTGTAACCCACGTCCAGTTTCAATCCACATGGGTTAGCTTGAAAATAGGCTAGCCATGGCTAGCCTATAAAACTCCCATGGTTTATCGTTTCAAATCGCCATTCTCAGTGTCACGGATGTCCGGCCTGCAAGTCTTTCAACAAGGTCGCCACAAAGCCTGCCACGGATGTACCCGTTTGAAATGTGGAGAAGCTACAACGAAAATCCCAACAAATATGGTGGATTCATCAACAAATAGTGCAATGTTGAGCTAAAACCTGGTTTGCGATCTAAGCAACCACGAAATTGGATTCAAGCAATCCAAGTTTGCATTTAACCACCAAATATGATGCATGGAGCAACAAAGTGCGATTTGGTTGCTCACAAAAGTCTGTTGTATTCACTCACCAAATATCGAATATAACCAATACAATACTTGGATTTTACCAACAGCAATGTCGCTTTAAGCGACGAAAATTGTTATTGTCTTGACGTGGATGGCGGCCACTCGTAGCGCCACACATTTGAGCATGTATCAAAAGGACTTGATATCGGCAGGTCATAAGACACGTCAACTAAAAACAGTTAGCTGTCAATAAAAAGGATTCTGCAGGTTACCTCGGAGGCTTATATCTGAGGGCTATCGCTTGCGGCATGCGATCATCCAAGCTAAAATGGCTTCGTCATCGGTGGTACCGACAGGCCATCCCAATTGCATCTGGATGGGGCAAGAAAATACAAGAGCGTTTAGGCTCGTTCAAGGCTTTTCTAATGGCAATCTGCAATCTGTCACATGCAATGGGACATGCATTAGCCAACCAAATTGCACCTTAATGGTCCCACGGAAATCCCCCATCTTTTATGGCACATCGGTAAAGGAAGGCAAGCAGCCCGCCGGAGAGAGCGATCATAGATGAGATACGTTCTTTCTCTTTAAGCAAAAAATGATAGCCAACATCGATGGCAGAGTTCACCAAAAATATTATAATACATGATGTTGATACAAATTGACCCGCAACGGTGCCTAATTGATTGATAATGAATCCCAAATTCATACCTAATTGAAGATTATGTTGATGTTTTCCCTATATGAATCATGATTCTAGCAACTTGTCTGAGGTTGCTACAAGCTGAAGGATGTCGAGGCATGTGCAAGAGTGCTTGGTAAGTCAAATCCTTGCCTAAAGCACACCAAAAGACCGGAAACCGACGAAGCCTGATATTTTTTGTGGTTTTTCATGATATGAGATATGAATGAGATTCATGATATTCATGATATTTTTCATGATATCCAACGATATTGTCCTTGCCCCCCCAGCTCCCCAGCTCAGGCCGGTATCCCTATGATCTGCCTGAGGTCTCTCCCTGCGCAGTGGAGCTGGGGTGAAGCTACCCGGGCCATGGAAGGGCACCCCGCTGGATTCCAGGTAAGTCTTTGGTAAACTAACGTAACTATGGAAAATCACCATGCTATTAATGGGTAAATCCACTATTTCTATGGTCCTGTTCAAAAGCTATGTTAGTTTACCAGAGGGTAATCATACCATATTATATATTATATAAATTGATATATTGTATAATATTAGATATTGTATAATATTACATATTATATAATATTATATATTATATATTATATATTATATAGTATGTATTGTATTATAGTATATTATATTATATTATATTATGTTATGTCATGTTCTGTTATGTTATATCATGCGGGTATACATATATATATATATCTACATATATATATATTTATATATATATTATGCATATAATATATTCCACACATATATCATATATATAATTATATATCATGTATATATATATATCATATCTATGCATATCTATTCATCTTAATTTAATCGTTTGCAACCTTGGTACCGGCCTGCAAGGCGCGCAAGGCCTCCTGTGGCTCCTGGTGACGAAGAATGGATAAATCTCTGGAACATGATCTGGTTGAAACATGTTTTTTCATTCAATACATGGTTAAAATGATCTGGCTAAAATATACGCACTTGTCCTGATAGCTGAGATCTTAGGGCCAGCTATGTTTGAATTCCACGCCATTTCTCCCATCGTGCCGACGGAAAACGACGTGAGGTCATGGTCAAATTCAGCCGGAACATGATCAAGAAAATCCATGGGTGATGAATGTAATGTTCATGAATCCAGTGGCATTATCTTGATTGTACATCAACATGAAATTGATCAATTAAATTCTCCCTCTGGTAAACATACAAAAAACTATGGAAAATCACCATGCTATTAATGGGAAAATTCACTATAAATGGCCATTTTCAATAGCTATGTTTGTTGACCAGAGGGTAAATGATTTCCAAGAAATACTTAACCATCAGTCGATTCATTGGTGGTAAATCACCAGTCACACGTGAATTGTGATTAGACACACATTTTTGTTCATTCCCCAAAAGTTATATCACATTCCCCATCATTCATCCCTTTTAAATGGTGAACTTTCCATTTATGCCCAGAATATGAGTTTGTCTAAAAATCCCACTATATTACCATTGTATCACCATCAAAAATTCCCAGATTTGCTACTTAAACGCCATGTAGATCATATTGGCGAGTTCTCAAAATGGGCTAATTACATCAGTCATCATCCAGTCGTCATGGATGACCATGACTTAGTAAACCTATGGTTGCGTGGGTATCCCATGATGCAAGAAACCCCCATATCCCATGATATCCAATGATGGTGATACGGTGGATGGAAGAAATCCTGCACCAGTTGGTATATGGTTTATCCCCTTATAATCTCATTATCTATCATGTTTCATAGCTACCTAACGGTTGCCAACTGATGCAGGATTTCGCAACCATCCTAACTGTATCATGATTCTCATGGGATTTTTCTCCATGGATACCGAATTCTATCACCATCATATCACCATTGATATCCTCTGGTAATTTAACATAGCTATGGAAAATCACCATTTTTAGTGGGAAAATCCACTATTTCTATGGTCATTTTCAATAGCTATGTTAAATTACGGGCAGGACTGAGGGTTGTCCCGGAATGGTCGTATGAACGTCAGTGGGAAGCTCATTTCTCTGCGCAGGCGCAGTGTTCTACGACTCTGGTACATCTGTGGGTTAGCGTGGTCTAAGACGACTTTTTGGAAAAATCAGTCAGAAAAGTGAACCCTCTGCGGACTTCACACGTTTCGGCCATTTCCACTTTTTCAATCTTTTTCACTTCTTTGGCGAGCCCGGAATTTATAACTTATGTAAACCCTAAATGAAATCCCTTAATAGAAGTATGCGTATATGTTCCATGGGGCCGGGAGATTTTATAACTTACGTAAACCCTAAATGAAATTCCTTAATAGAAGTATGCGTATATGTTCCATGGGGCCGGGAGATTTTATAACTTAAGTAAACCCTAAATGAAACCCCTAATAGAAGTATGCGTATATGTTCCATGGGGCCGGGAGATTTTATAACTTAAGTAAACCCTAAATGAAACCCCTAGTAGAAGTATGCGTAGGACGTCACTGTTGTTATGACAAGGAAATCCCCTGGCACCAATGGGTTGCTAGCCCCGCTCCATACCCTCACAGGACGAGGGGTTGTCCCTTCGGGACAACCCCTCGTCCTGTGGGTTAAATTACCAGAGGGTATCACCATTCTCTCACCATGATTTTCCCATGGATATTCCCATTCTATCCCAGAGGCCTCCAGCGTCGCACCCAAGAGCTTGGCTGAGAGGGAGACTTTTCCCTAGCGTGGCAAGGTGGCAACGCTAGGAAAATGATGAATTGATAGAAATGGTTTGTTGTAACATGTGTGACATATGGATCAATTGCATCTTTCGGATCAATAGAAAAAACCATGTGTTGTTGTAACATTGTGTAACATGTTTACTGATAGAAATCATCTGATAGTCATCAACAGTCGGATCTTTCAGCACCTCACGGATTTGCTGTTCCCTGTCCCTAACTTTGCAGGATCAATGCCACCTTGATTAAACTTGGATGTGTATCATTCATTCTTCAAGCAGAAACATGAGGTACGGTTCACATGGGTCTCTCCAAAAATTGGGTGTTCCCCCTTTTCAAACGTCGCTCTTAGTTGGAAATACGCCTCTTTTCCTCGAAACCCATGTGTTATGGGAGTGGTTTTCTTTACATTTTCAGGTGCAAAGCCATCAAAAAAAACATGTACCCTCCAGTAAATTGACATAACTATGGAAAATCACCATTTTTAATGGGAAAACTCACTATAAATGGCCATTTTCAATAGCAAACTGTTAGTTTACCAGAGGGATTTTTTTTGGGTGGCCTTCACCAAATCAATCAATCAATGGCCCAACGGGCACGTTGGCACCTGGCCCGTACTTTCCTGCCGCGCCGCCTGCGCCCAGATGGGTAAAAACACCGTGTGTTTCCATTGGTTTATTGAAATGTGCCAGAAATAGATTGATAATTATGTTGAATGATACTTATGTGCATGATTATTACTTAGAATTATCATAAGTTGAAACTCTATAATTATGATGAATGATAAAATGAGAGTGTTTAATATTGGGGACAGGGATTGTTATTATTATTATTATTCCTACTATTCTTACTATTTTTGTTATCAGTATTCTTACCATTGTTGTTACTATTGTTCTTACTATCATTTTCACTATTATTCCTGCGATCATTGTTACTATGTGTGTTTTTATTATTCTTATGACTATTATGACTATTGTTACTATTATGTGTTCCTAGAAAAATCTTACTATGTGTTGCGCACTATCATTGTTACTAGTTGCCATAAGAATAATATGACTCTTCAATGGTGTTACTAGTTGTATCATGACTATCATTCTTACACCTGCGATCATTGTTACTATGATTCTTCGTATGCCAATGTGTTATAATCATAGTAACAATGATAGTAAGTAGTGTTACAATAATTGTTATCATCATTGATAAGTCATGAACATTAACTATAGTATACTATAGGATCATTGTAAGTTACTATCCAAGAAGTTCCTGTAAAATGATGGTCATGTTACAATAATTATTCCAGTTACCATCTGGTTATTTAACATAGCCATGGAAAATAGCCCATTTATAGATGGTTTTCTCATCAAAAACTTCATTTATGGTTGGGATGTTCCATGGCTATGTTAGTCATAACCAGATGGTAATTATTCCAGTTACTAGTGTTACCCTCTGGTAATTTGTTACATAGCTATTGAAAATGACCCAGTCGAAATAGTGAGTTTTCCCATTCAAAATGGTGGATTTTTCCATAGCTATGTTAAATTACCAGAGGGTAAAATTTTATGTAAATCCCCAGACTGCTGCTGTTCTTGGCGTTGTTTTTCATGGAGGATCTTCGACAAGACTTGGGCATTTTTCCATAGTTATGTTAGTTTACTGGGAAAACCATCTATGGAAAACACTAATAAATGGTTTTCTCCATTTATAGATGGTTATTTCATGGAGGGTACTAAACACTACGTAGTTGTCACTGGATCCCCTATTTATTGGACCATCATGGGACTCTTTGACCGAGCCTCCAAAGTCTCCAGTGGTCCCATAGCAATCATCCCAACACCTCGGGCGCGAACACGGCGGCTCCGCACACGGCGCGAGCACACGTGGCACAGGCTTCTCCCAAGGCTGGGGATATCAATGATGAGTTCATAGATATCTATGGTTATCTATGGTTAATATATGTTAATATATGGTTATCTATGGTTAATATATGGTTATCTATGGTTATCTATGCTTAATAGATATCTAGTTATATAAACAATGGGGATCTATAAATATAAATGATTAATCTATGGTTATCTATGGTTAATATATGGAGAAACTGTGGTTAATGGTTAATAGTTACCCTCTGGTTATGACTAACATAGCTATGGTATAGATGGCCCGAATCGAAATAGATGGTTTACCGTTCTTGAAAATGGTGGATCTTTCCATGGCGAACTGTTAGTCATAACCAGATGGTAATACAATATGTAATATTATAACATTATATAACCCCCATAAGATATGATATACATATGTATGTATACATATATATATATATGTGTAATTATGTGTGTGTATATGTAATTATGTGTGTGTGTCTGAAAAAATGGCAAGAACCTCTCCCAAATCATAATTGCCAGGAGGAAAAATTATGCTAACTGAGGCCTTCGATTTCTGGGGTATTTTCCAGCCATGTTTAAGCTCTGGATGCAGGAACATAAGCCTAGCTAATGTCAACCCCGGATTGATAAACCATGGTTTATCAATTATGTATGGAGTTACATACCCTCCAAATAACCCTCCAAATAGTGATATATAATCTGATACTATAAATGGTCCCCCCAATTAAACAGCCCTTTGGGGTTTATTAATTCATGCTTGACATTTCTGCTATAGTCGTGAAAAATAAATGGTGCCCCTGGTGAACACAAGAACAGTGCCAGTGGATGTTCATTTCCAAGTAACATATGGCAGAATAAGTTTTGATCCATCTCCATATTATTGAGCGGGTTGTGACCCCATGTACAGATCACAAAACTAAGTACCGCGCCGACTCTCGCCCCGATAGTCATGATATTGCATCGTCATTCTTGGGTTTTGAATATGTTGGTCTGAAAAATTGGGTATACCCCAAAAATTGGATTAATCACCATTAATCACCAGTAATGTTTTTTGGATTATAATAGGAAACAGTAATCACTGTATGATTCGTAGATTTTACCCCATTTTCAGACAACCCAAAAAAAAACACCACTGGCTGGAGCGGTTACTTAAGTCCTTTTTTCGTGCATAGCTGCGCTGCGTGTAGCCGCTTAGAGAATCTTGGACAAGCTATGACAAGCTATGACAAGTCGACATGAACAACGGAGACGAAGCAAAGTTTCTGGCGTGTTTTTTGTGTTTTTTTACTAGGGGGAAGGGATCATTCTATCTCACACGCATGTTACAAAAAAAAACCGGGATGGCGGATTCATACACATTTTAGGTGTCCATATGGGGAAGAATCACCAAGTCATACCATGGTGGTGTCAATACCCTCTGGTAAACAGCCACATAACTATGGAAAATCACCATTTTTAATGGGAAAATCCACTATTTCAATGGCCATTTTCAATAGCTATGTTAAATTACCAGAGGGTAGTCGTTTCAATACAAAGTCCTGGTAGCCTGACCCCGGATCAACTGGGCGACCCGGACGTTTTTGCGTCTCCTGGAAATTCCGGTGGCGAAAAGGGCGGGATAGCCACGGTCCAAAGTCCACCCAGATTTACCTGTGAAATCTTATGAAATAGATATAGATGAAATAAGATGAAGATAGATGAAGTAAGAGAAAAGAATAGTAGATGTGATCTTATTCAGATTGTATTATATCAGCTTAGATTGATTTCCATTAGATCAGCTTCGATGAATTCAGGTTGGATTCAATTTAGGTCAGTTTTTTTCTGGGGTTTCACATTATGAAAAATCGAGATTCCAGATTAGACAAAAAGGCATCATCATTTCCAGTGCGGCGCACCTGTGCATCATCTTGGCAGATGGATGCCAGCGCAATGCCCAAGTCTTGTCGAAGATCCTCCATGAAAAACAACGCCAAGAACAGCAGCGGTCTGGGGATTTACATAAATTTTACCCTCTGGTAATTTAACATAGCTATGGAAAATCACCATTTTTAATGGGTAAATCCACTATTTCTATGGCAATTTTCAATAGCTATGTTAGTTTACCAGAGGGTACCATCCAGTAATATCTGGCAAGCAATCCCTGGTGGGATGAATCATCCCAAGATGTCCCAAGATGCCGTTGGCTTGGCTGGTGAAGAAAAGAACTCAAAAAATTCTGGTTTTCTCTGAAATTTTAGGGGAAAGCTCCCAAATCCAAAGATCTTCAGGGGGATTTACATGGATTTACCAAAAAAAACATGATTTGCCAATGATTTACCCTCCAATGTTTCCTATGAAAGCAGCCATTTAACAACATCCCATCAAAACAGACCCATATCATCCCAATAGAAAAAAGCCTGGAATCTTCCAGAAAATAACTATGGTGGGTCGAGAAACTCCTGAAATCGTATGCGAGAATCAATGAACTGTTGAGTTTTGGTCACTGTTCATGTCTTTCCCAACCAGGAAAGACATGGAGAAAACTGGCTCAGCTGTTAGTTCGCAGTTCGTTGGTGAAAAGCGCCCGGGTTTTTCAGGAAGTCCCCTGAAATGTCCCACAAATGGGTGAACTATCTACTGGTTGGTGGTTGACCTACCCCCCTGAAAAATATGAAAGTCAGATTGGATCATCATCCCAACTATTGGGGAAAATAAAAGTCATGTTCCAGTCACCACCAACCAGTCTATGTTTCGCCAACGATTTCTGGGATTCTCCACCCTTAAAATCTTTCGGAGTCCAGCACTGTCAGTCACCGTCACCACAATGATTAATCATTTCAGGACCTGAAGAGGGTATCAAAAAAATGTTTGTCGCAAAAAAGAAAAGAACAACCGGTATCAAATGCTTCAATAAAATCACCAATTGTTGCTGCTGAAATGTCTCAACATGTTGGGCGTTGAGTTCTCGATTTCTCCAACATCCCTGGTCCCCCAGGTCTGATTTTGTCGTACTCATACAGTGAACCACTGTTGACCATGGTTGGAGAGTATTGGATTATGGAATATAATATGGAATATAATATGGAATATAATATGGAATATAATATGGAATATAATATGGAATATAATATGGAATAGTATTGGATAAAGAAAAAAAGGGAGATCAACTGCGATCAACTGCGATGCACCAAGTAAAATGGCGGATAGCGGATAGCCATGGATAGCCCTTATGACATCACCATACCTCATTCTGGACGTTCATCCAGTTCATCCCCACATTCAACTGGGAATCTGATAAGAAACCATCACCAAAAAGATTCACCATGTTTGGTCACTCTAATTTGACCCATATCATCCATATCCAGTCCCCATGATTCCTCAGGTTACCTGAAATGCACCAATTCATCAGGGTTCAGCAGGGTTGTCTGGAAAGTGGGGTAGCCCCAACATTCTCTCAATGGGAATTCCAGGATCCGATTGATTGGAGGTACCTACCATATATAAGGCCTATTTTTCAGGGCTATGTAAGGGAATATCCCCACAAAATATGGCCAGAAATATGGTACAGTACCTCCATGTTAGGATCCTGAAATTCCCATTGATTCTCTGTTTAAATTGACCTGTTCCAGGTAGACCCCCTTTTCACAACGACCCATTTATCCATTTGAACCCCCACGACCCATTGCTGGTTCCCGATTTTTTTCCGCAGTATATCCCATGAAATATCTACACATACCCCATGTACATCACATTATATCCCAGTATAAATTGAATCACCATTTGGTTGGTTATACCACATGGTTTTACATGTACATCGTACAGGTCTACTGATTGACTATTGGGATTCGAATCATTGTAATGCCCAAATTATATCTCAATGATGGTTGGTTTAATTCCCACTTTCTTTGTTATATATATATAATTATATATATAGTTACATATTATGATATGATATAAGATATGTATACATAGTTTTATTTCTATGGAACAAAATGTTAATCTTAGACGCTCTCTGATTGTTTAGCTGATTCGTGAATATCCCCATTGACGGCAAAAGATTCAAATATCAAACTACCCATCCAGTCGCTTGACCTAAAAACCCTCACTCTTGACCCCATGAATAGCCTGGTTGCGTTCCCAATTTGTTGGTTTTAGTTTTTCATTCTCTAATACTGTACCCAATTATCTCCCAATATATTCCATTCTATTTCAATCAAGATCCGCACATGGAAAGCAACCCTCAGTTTCGAAGCCTCCCCGTTTCCCCCACGTCCGTCGTCGCCTCCAACTTGGCGTCGCGTTCAGTTGCAAAGCGACGCTGCGCCTTTGTCGCAGCGAAGGAGATCGACTGGAGATCCCACCATGGAATGGGTATATTAAGCCCTTTTCTCATGTGTGCTATGGTAAATTTACATGGATTCATACGGTTTATGATCATCCATCGCATTTCATGGGAATCCTTTGGATATATGAAATCCCATTAGCAGATTGATGACTGTCAACAATATCAGCCATTTACCAATATTCTGACTATGGGAACAATGTGAGAATTGAAAAACCCTGAGTTTTTAATGGATGGATTTTTTTTGGAAATCTTCACCGAACATTGGCCGGTAGAGAAGCCATCACAAAATTCACTTGTGTCCTGTAGAATTTCCCATCATCCAATTCTGGGGAACTAAGTGTTACCCTCCGGTACTTTGACAGAGCTATGGAAAATGGCTCGTTTGTAATGGATTTACCCATTAAAAATGGTGATGTTCCCGTGTTATGTGGCAGTTTACCAGGGGGTATAACAATTTATGTAGTTGATTTACCAAGCTCAAAATAGTCATTTTCCATGGCTGCGTTTGTTTTCCAAGTTGTTGAGTCCAACGAAATGAAACTTTCCTTTCTTCGGGTGATCCCCCGGCCTGATCCACTATTCTGACGTAGTTTCTGACATACCATCTGGATATGTAGATGGCATATTTATTCTGACATTCTATCTGGCAATATCTGACATTCTTTCTGGCATATACTTTGACATTCTATCTGACACTCTATCCGGCATCCATTCTGACATTTTATCTGCCATCTTTTCCGGCGTTCATTCTGGCATTCCTTCTGGCATATGTTCTGAAATTCTCTCTGACATTCTTTCTGGCATATGTACCTGGCATATCTTCTGACATTCTTTCTGGCATTGTATCTGGTATATCTTCGAAGATTCTTCGTGATCTTTGTGGTTGAGGCGGGGAGCACTGCGATCAAGCGCTTGCAGTTGAGGTCCGGCGGGGACCACTGCGATCACGAGCTTGCAGTTGAGGTGGCCGAGGAGGAGGAGGAGGAGGACGAGGAGGCTGGTGGGACAGCTGACATAACATCTAACAACCCTCACCTGACAGGTGGGGAAAAAACGGAGGATGTAAACAGACAAAATGGCTTGGTTTCGGGGATACATCAGGGAACATGTAGCAAAAATCGGGCAAAAGTTCGATGTGACCAAGCTGGGATATGGTTCAATATCACGGTACTTCAGCCATTTAAATGGGATGTACCCTCTGGTAAACTAACATAGCTATTGAAAATGGCCATTTATAGTGGATTTTCCCATTAAAAATGGTGGATCTTTCCATAGCTATGTTAGTCATTACCAGAGGGTAAATGGGATGTAAACCAGTGGTCATAGATTTTAGATGAACTCGCTGCCTGCGATTTTCGTGATATACACATCTTTGACGACAAATGTAGGGAAGGAAAAAAACCTTTGGAGGATACATCCATCGTGCATCATAAACATTTCATAAACAGTGCATGTTCTTTCCCTCTTAGTTGCTCCTCCCAATGATAAAAGTGGTGGCTGAAAATTCTCCGTTGAAGTCGTGGCGGCTACCCGGCTAGTGATTCGGCCAAGTTTATCCACAAATGGGATCTATCCCCAGAATTGCTATGTTTTTGCGAACGGGGCAAGGATTTAAGCAATTGGATTTGGATGGATTTGGGCAAAAAACTGTCAGGCGTTGCAACCTCACTCGATTTTTCAACAGACCAACCGATCTGTTCGCTTCCTGACTGAGAGAATCCGTGAATTCTCAAGGGGATAAGTGTGGTGGCCCAATGGCTTACTCACAACCCAGCAACTAGCTCTTGACGATATCATAACGTATATGTCCCAGTTACTATTTCGTAAAACATCATAAGGTATATATGGTATATATCCAAGTTGATATCTAGCTCTTTAGGGATGTCCCACTTACTAAGTAACTATTTGAATGGGATATTTCAAGCCGTCGAAACTGGTTTTTCGGATCATCATCCGCTTGCGGATCATCGCACATGCGAATCATGTCTTTGCCACTGTCCAGTTGATATGCCACCTGAAGGTTGACGAAAAAATGTGTGTGTTTTCTTTAAAAATACCCTCTGGTAAACTAACATAGCTATGGAAAATCACCATTTTCAATGGGAAAATCCACTATTTCTATGGCCATTTTCAATAGCTATGTTAAATTACCAGAGGGTACATCCTTTTACCACATCAGCATGGGCAAAAATCAAGGAAATCGCCTCCGAAGTGAGGTCTCGAACGTACTTTGCGCTCTCCTGACATCACCAAGAATTTTGGATGGCTATGATCATACCCATAACTAGATTAGATGGTTGTATATTCCCAAATCATCCCACATCTTTTTATGTCATGAACATATAACCAAATGGAGGTGTCCTAAAATCCAGACACTACCCCCAAATCATCCAAGTCATTAGTTTTTCACCATGACTTTGTACTTTTTGGAACCTATGGTAACCTATGGTGACTTGGGGATCTCCGAAATTTTAGGAAACCTCCAAATCGCTCGTTGAAAGGAAGCTGTTTCAGTGGAACGGATCCAACAATTCCCATTCCGAAGCCCGTTGTTGTGTCATAAATTGGGCATAGCCCGTTGACAAACCCAACTGGGTATGGATCAATACCTATGAAAATACCATTTTTAGGGGAATGAACATCCATAAATCCCAGCTATTTTGATGTGAACTACAGGGGTACAAAGTTTTGACACACTGCCAACTATATTTAGTTGGCCTTATAACTTATTATTATCCCATCATTATCCCATCATTATCCCATCATTATCCCATCATTCCCCACGAGTTTCGCAGTTGCAGCTCCTCCCTGGCGCGTTGCCGGCGCTGCTGCCACAACGCCATGCGTCCCTCATGGGCGCTTTGAAAGTCCTGGCTGCGTCCCGGTTACGATAACTCCAATTTAACTGATGGCTTCAGGGCAGTGGCTTATAAATTATCTGGGATATCACAAAAAAAGAATTATGGGATAAGCATATAACATGGCTAGCTAAGTTGCTTTAAAACTGTTTTTTTCTGATAGCTCTATCATATGTATCGAACTAATTAGTATGGCTTACAATTCAACCGATGGGTTGATGGCAACATTCCACTAATGCCATAACGAGAAAAAACCCAACAAGATGCCAGTGACTTGTCTCATCATTTTAGGCACAACTATCTGTTGGGGTTACCCTCTGGTAAACAGCCACATAACTATGGAAAACCAAAATTTTCAATGGGTAAATCAACTATTTCTATGGCCATGTTCCATAGCTATGTCAAATTGCCAGAGGGTATCTCCAATGATTATAGTCGTTTGATGATTAACCCCATGTAGTACCATTTCATAAGGGAAAAATTATGATTAACCACTGAGTTTGGCCGTGAATAACTATAATCCTCCCATTATAACTATCATTTTAGTAGTGGTGTTACGTTTCTATCTGTTTTTTTTTACCAGTTCACCAACGCAACTGTGGGAACCATCTCCAGAGGGGCGTTCATATGCTGGAAAGATCGAAGGAACAGGGTGAACCAATTTGGTATGAAGAACTAATTGATATATATATATATATACATATATATATATATCTGTATATATATAATATATGTATACTATGTATATATATATGTATATGGGAAATGGTGATTTCACATTACAGAGCCAGTAAACATAGAATAAACTATGAAAAGCCATGGCTTTCCCTGTGAAGTGATCTACAAGAAGTGGATTGTCCATATCTTAGTATACTGGAGGGCATGTGGCTTGGAATATTAGAGTTATTGCAGTGATTGTAAACTGTACCCTCTGGTAAACTAACGTAACTATGGCAAACACCATTTTCAATGGGAAAATCCACTATTTCTATGGCCATTTTCAATAGCTATTTTGACATAACCAGAGGGTACATTTAAAAAAATCATCCATCAAGTCATGGATGACGACTCGAAAGCCTGGTGCTTTGGCTTTGGATCAACTGATCAATTGCCAGCTATCTCAGATTCCAATAAAACACTCCAGAAAAGCTACAATTCGAAAAAACGATAGGGGCTCTCTGGCAATCAAATTGAGATTTTTTAGGGGGCAACCCTTTTGAATGCTTAGTTTTAGATCAAAAATCGCCAATGTGTTCTAATATACCCAGTATATCCCATATCTTTCCATATCTTTCGCTGCTGTTTCGCCTTCACTGCACGGGCATAGCTTCGTTGACGCCTTGGACGAGATTTTTCGGTCGTCGAGTGCCCCAGTGGATCTTTGAACCCCCCCAGAAAGATTGGAAGATCCCCACTGGATATGGGATGAAATATTGGTTATCTGGTTGGTGGTATACCTACCCCTCTGAAAAATATGAATCCGGATGATGACATTCCCAATTTATGGACAGTCATAAAATTCCATGGTTCCAAACCACCAACCAGTTATATAAGCCACCACGGATCGGATGAGTTTTTTGGATGCAGAAGAATTGGAATTCAAGATATGCCATGTACATAGGGGGAAAATATTTGGATTTGCTGAACCCCAAAGAATTGGATTTCCCCAGTGGTTTTCCCATTGGAAAAATGCAAAATCCCTCGGCAAATCGAGGAATATGATGATTATCATGGTGGGCCAGTGGATTTTTGCTGCACAACTAGCTTATTTTTGGATGTGGGTTAGAAAAACCAACAGGACTGTGGAACCACAACTAGCGAAGTTCATCTGGACCATGGAACTGGGTGAAACTGAAACGACGCTTACTAACCATTGGTTTGGATAGCTTATGATGAATCTAAACCTGATATTTGAGGCCATCACTATTGTTCGTTGGGCCGTTGGCTTCGGTTGCAACATGTGACGTGTCGCGACATAATCATCGAGATGGACGGTCCAGTTGCTCCGCGAACTGAGGCATATTCTGGGCGAACCACCATCATGATTTTCCTTTGTGTTACCCTCTGGTAATTTAACATAGCTATTGAAAATGGCCATTCATAGTTGATTGACCCGTTCAAAATGGTGATTTCCATAGTCATGTTAGTTTACCAGAGGGTAGTTCTATTCGGGCGGAATGGGGATGGTAGACTCCGAGCAGGTTCCATACCCCGTGTCATCAGTCAGATGGCTGGAAAATCCATGGATTTTTTCGCATTTCGATCAGAATCGCCTCGCAGCTGTTGCTCCACAAGGTGGTGCCCCAGTTCGTTAGCTAAGTTGGTGCAAATAACTCCAATAACTATGGTTTATGGTATAACTATAGTTTTCATGGGGTTTATAAACCAACAAACATAACTGAGGGGCACCACATTGCAGGGCCCCCGGCAAATGCTCCAGGGACGTCTGCAACGTTTGCCTCGCGCAAATTTCTCGGCGCTTGGCGCTTGCCATCCCAAAAGTTTTGAATGCTGGCTTCAAATGGGTGAAAATGGGGATCACCATGGAAGACACATAAAATGGCCGTTGATTATATATACATATATACATATATATATACATATGTATATAATCATATATACATATATATATACGAATATATATATATATATATGTACAAAGTACATATAATATGTGTATATATATATATATGAAAATGGAAAATGATGAAAACCCATTGATACATGGAAAATGATGGTAAACCAATGGATTTGGGGGTACACATTTTTTTCAGGCAAACCCAAATGGCTGGATGGATGACGTACGTGTGAAAAGACGTGGGTTGGCATCGCATCACCGCTCCAAATGGCTTGGAACAAGCCTGACTGTGGTGGTGAGTTTTAAAAAGGCCACGTACTCAGTATGTGTTTTATGGTTTGTTTCCCAAAAACACCATTTTTAATGGGAAAATCACCATGTTTAATGGGAAAATCCACTATTTCGACTGGGCCATTTTCAATAGCTATGTTAGTCATTACCAGAGGGTATGTTTTTTTTTCCCAAAAACCTCTACAATTGATAAACCAATCCCGAAAATTCTGACATGGAACCTGAAGATAGGGATTATCATGAGATGATGTCACTGCTAGCTATGGCCCAAATGTTGGGTTCCTTCTGATAAATTTAGGCAGCGTATATCCTCGGAAGATTCAATGGAGATATCAAGCAATAGTCAACCTTTCAAAGATTCAATGGAGATTCAATGGAGATTCAATGGAGATTTGTAAGACATATTCTTCAGGGTATCTTCAGGGTATGACATGTTCCACCCATCAAAGTGTTCAGTCACTGAACACATTGATCGTCTCAACCGATGGATTTTTCATCATCCAGGGATGAAATGAAATACCATCTGCTTATGACTAACAGTTCGCCATGGAAAGATCCACCATTTTTAAGAACGGTAAACCATCTATTTCTATGGGGAAAATCACCATTTTTAATAGGTAAACCATCTATTTCGATTAGGGCCATGGCTTCCATGGCAAACTGTTGAATAACCAGATGGATTTTACAACTACGGCAATGGGCCAATGGGTGAAGTCATAGTTTACCCAAAGAGTGGGCCAGGGGAACCACTGGGTGAACCAACCCATTTTTTGGCGACATTTTACCAACGGCCGACGACATAACCTGGACATCACCAACAAACATGAGATTCTTGTTCACCAAGCTGGAGATATCAGACATATCAGCTACTTGGCGACTAGCCCAATAGATACATCTAATCAGAATCTAATCAGTATCTGAAGGTTTACTGAATGTTCAAAGAACATAACAGATGTTATAGTAAACTCATATGGTTCTTATAAATCATATAATTATATATAATAGTATATATATCATACGGTAATTTAACATAACTATGGAAAATCACCATGCTATTAATGGGTATATCCACTATTTCTATGGCCATTTTCAATAGTTATGTTAGTTTACCAGAGGGTATATCATATGGCTCCTACATAATTGTTAAACTCATCTGCTTCTCAGCCGCCTTATGAGATTCCCAGCTGCCTCACCAATGCTGATAGAAAAACCCGGTCGGTCCCTTCAGACACTCGCTGGGTTTTTCGAACAGATGTCCAGCGGTTCATGGACAACATCCTATTTAATGGTTAATGTGGTGAAACTAACGGATAGTAAATCACCATGAAATAACCATTTAATGGAAATTGAATGTACCCTCTGCTAATTTAACATAGCTATGGAAAATCACCACCATTTTCAAGAGGTAAATCAACTATAAATGGTCATTCTTCAATAGCTATGTTGAATTACCAGAGGGTAAAGGATAGGTTCGAACCCCAAATCATGATCAACCCAAAGGGGTTGGTAGAGAGAGTCCCTTTTCGGGCCAATGGCCAATTTCAAATGAGTCCCCACAACCCTTACCGGCTGGGAACCCGAGATTTCTATGACATAAACAAACTCGAGATGTTCAATTGATCACGAAGGTCGCGGGACACGAGCCAAGATGGTATCATCTCACAATGATAATACGGTATATTGGTGCACGTGTGAAGGACCCTGTACCCCTGGTCTTTTTCACCAAAATAGCTGGGATTTCTGGATGTTCACCGAAAATCGCTGGGATTTCTGGAAGTTCATGCTCCCAAAATATGATTCACAGGTTTTGATACATCCCGGTTCTGTTTTTGGGCTGCGCAAAAAGCGCCAAGGTCGCCTTCCATCTTCTAGCTGCATTTCTGTCACGCTGGCCAAGGCTTCGGCTAGCCTGGTGATGGAAGGTTTTTTAATTGTCGAAAGTTGGGAACTTGGAATGGAGAGATGCAGAAACACCGCAGTGGCCTCAAATTTTGGAATCTGCAGAACCAGCGATTTTATCATCATCATCATCATCATCATCATCCCAATTCATTTTGGACCATTGGGGCCATTCGCCATGTTGAGACCAAACTAATTGAGGGCTTCCATCACGGAAGATTCCACAACAAACATAGCACAACAAACATGTGGGGTGTCCGATTGGATCTGGGGGATACCCCAGCCGTAAAAAGCACGGCGGTTTTTGGGGGTTTCATACATCCTAAGTTACCCTCCAGTAAATTAACATAGACCCTGCCAGATAGGGGTTGGAAGATTAGTTTCCATTAAAAATTTGTGATTTTCAGGGTCTATGTTAATTTACCAGAGGGTACATCTCCCACTTGATTTCGCTATGCTTGGCATGATCCATATCTTGGTGAAATTGTCCCCTTTTCACCATCGCGCCTGGCGCACTCACCTAGCAGCTCACTCCTCGGTAGATCAGCAATACCTCCTTCTCCAAAGAGAATTCCTCCTCTCCTCCTTCTCCTCATTAATGGTAGTTAATGGTAATTCATGTCCTCGGCCTCATCATCATCATCATCATCATCATCAAATATCAAAGCATCGTCAGGTTGCACGGAGGATGGAAAGAGTTCACAGCTCCACTTGCGAAATCCCGTTGCCAACTGGCGGCCACAAGACCCATGATGTCATCTTGACGTTTGTCCCCACTGAGACTGATGAAATTGCAATGTATATTGCAATGTCCGAAACCACGAAGATAGAGGATAATACATATATCTATACCATCTGGTTATTTAACATAGCCATGGAAAATCACCATTTTTTATAGGTAAACCATCTATAGATGGGCCATTTTCCATGGCTATGTTAAATAACCAGAGGGTATATATTCACGATATCTTTGTGTCCTGGAAGTTTGTTCCACAGATATATTCAAATAGTATATTCTTTTTCTATGTGGGTAAAATAATGCCATAAACCATCCCCATCCCCCAGTCATCACCACAAAATAGGGGTATAACCCATTCCCAAATGGGTGGTATGGCATTGTTTTACCCACATTCCACCACTATTAATCACCATAAATCACTCTTAATCCCTAGTATTAGTCACTATTAACCATCTTTTTATCTGGCAATGGTCAAAAATTCCATCAGCCAATTCATCTCAGGCCCCAGACGAGTCCAGGTCTGCTGCCACAACCTGAGGGGAAGAAAAAACAAAAGTCACTGTTAAAATAAGCTTATAGTTAAGCCCCGAATTTTGCAGTCACTGTTGAAAGTGACTTTTGCCCCTTTTTTGGATTCGGATTTTACTTACAGTATCTGTTTGCAAGGCACTGGGGCACTTCAAACTGCTTGGTGGTTTCAACCCCTGGGCTGTTGGTCATTGCAGTACCCGGTTACTTCAGTAGCAAATGACCTTACCACATTGCGGATCTGCCCCATCCTTTACGTTATTGTCAAGATTCTGGGTTGACATTCTTCACAAAATATCCGGTTATTCTGTCAGCATTACACATATGTGTATATATATATACATATATATATATATACATATTAATATATATATATGAGCAGGGACCCCCACACCCCCCCCCCACCCAGCCAGATGGTTCCCCCCCCCTGTGGCAGGGGAGGGGGGGTTTTCTCAGCAGCCAAGCCATGGTGTATGTAGTCTTTATAGTGCATATAATGCATATGTATCGATAATTAGAATGGATATACTATATGCAATATAGAGTGAATGTGTAGTGTGTATATATATACATATATATATAATATGTAAGATATAAATAGAATATATGCAATCTATATATATATATATATATATATATATTTGACATATATATATATATATTGAACATATATATATATACACATCGTATATGTGGTTTTTGATAGAATATAGATAGTATATGCCACATGTACTGTATCCACAGTAGATGTAATATATACAATATAGGTAAATATGTTCGTTGAATAAATTTTACATAGTATATGTGGTATATTGAATATCGACAGCAATACACGCTGTATATCTAGAGTTTATGTATATATATATGCATATATACATATATATATATACGTGTACAGTATGTACAATGTAAACGAAGTATGTGATAGATACAAGATCAAGATATCAATCTGTAGTATCTAGAATGTGCATATATATATATGTATTTATTGTTTTTCTACTGTACATATGTCTAGGTTTGCATAGGTAAGCTTTGCGTAGTCCATAGGTAGCAAATATGTTGTAAACCATGTGCGAGGCACGCTATAGGCGGTTCGAAAAAAAGGTTATGATAGAAATATACAGGTAGACAAGGTCCGTTGACGAGGTCGTGGCTCTCAAGTGCTGCAAATAACGTAGAGATGCGAGGTTGGAGGGGTGGAAAGGGGAGTATATATGTGTATATGTGTATGTATATGTGCAAATAACATGCAAATACTAGGTTTTGGGGGGGTGGGGGGGGTTAGGAGTGGGGGGGGATACCATTGGGGGGGGGGGGGGGGGGGTGTGGGGGGTCCGGGGACCGGGCTCATATATACATATGTATATACTAATATATGTATATACTAATATATGATATGTGGATATACCAATGATATTCCGATTCATGGTTCTTGGGGACACCAGTTTTGTTTCCCTATGATTTGGCCCTGATTTTGGGAAACACCAGCATCCATCATGGGAAACACCGTTTAAAACGTGGGAAAAGCCATGGGAAAAAATGGCAAAAGCCATGGGAAAAGCCATGGGGAAACCACTTTTTCAGATTTTTCATCCGAAAATCATCCGAGTTCAACAGATGAACCAACAAATACCGGTCATCCAACCTGGCGTTTGGTGGAAAATCCGTGAACTAAATGGAGCTTGAGTTTGCTGGGAAAGACATGAAACGAAATAGGCAATTTTCCACGTTTGATTACCGGATGGTATATGTCAATATGTAAATGTGTTCACCATACATGACCTTGATCCCCCAAAAAAAACACAGTTCTTCCAAGATGTCATTTCTAGATATATTTATAGATATTTATAGATATTTATAGATAAAAAAAAAACACAGTTCTTCCAAGATGTCATTTCTAGATATATTTATAGATATTTATAGATATTTATAGATTAAAAAAAAACACAGTTCTTCCAAGATCTCATTTCTAGATATATTTATAGATGAGTGTCTCAAAATCCATGGCTGGTTTTTTCCATCGTTTTTTCCACCGGATTCTTCAGTCCACCTTGGCGGCTGTCCCGAAGTCCTCCACCACCAGGCCGCACAGGCCGCAGTCGTCGGAATCTGCGTCCTATGGTCCAGTGGTGCATGGTAAACACCCTGGGAAGTGTTGAGTATCATGGGTAAACAAAAAAAAAAAACATAGATTATCATAGATTATCATAGATTATCATAGATTATCATAGATCATCATGGGTACTGAGTATCTATGGCATCTTAGTTTTTTTTTAAATCATATCTGGCCATTGAGTATCAAATGGTAAACCCAATGCCATAGATCATAGACCTACGATCTGTGAATGGTGAACATACCACCCATAAAATTAGTTATTTTGGGAAGGCATTTTTTGGCATTGGGTTTTCCACATGGTCAATATTCCCCATAGGATTAAGTAGGAATATTCCTAATGTACTTATTTCAACGGATTCATATTAATGGATTCAACAGTGTTCTAAGTATGAATCGTCCATCATGTTCCTAATGTATTGTATTAAATATTGGTATTATAAACAATAACTTGATAGGAATTGATGTTATACTTGTAACTGTAAGAATTCTGCATAAATCTCTATTCATATTCCTCATGGAATTTATGGCTATCCCCCAATGAGCATACAAGCCAACTCTTGACCGTGGGACATGTAGAATGTGATGATGTTGATAAACTATTCAACAAGTTTTACATATTTGTTGGAAATTGACCAATTTAAATGATTATTATAAATACGATGTCCATTGATGTGATAAATTGATAGCATAACATTATCATATTGCGAGTTTACCCACATGGCCAATTTACCGCTAATACTTTTACTCTTCGTACTAAGCGTGACTGCATCCGTAAACAGCCAATTATTGATAAACTAGCCACGATCAGTATGAACACATACGAAAAGCTCATACCAACCGGGGCGAACACATCTAAGTGATGTGGTAAATGCCCCTGGCAAGCGCAAGAAGCCTCCATTCCAACCATTTAAAATATGGGTGGACTATTCTTGCTTTGATGTCAACCCCGGAGTAATCAACAGTGGTTTATTTTCATAGAAGTGGTGGTCCCCAAATAATGATCATCTAATACTTAAAAGGTACATATGTACCCATTGTACCCCCCCCAATTCAACAGCCGTTTGGGGCTTATGTTCATCCAGGGTTGACAACTAGATGTGGGTAAAACTAGGCCATTTTTACCACAGCTGGGAATGGTTTTTACATAGATCATACCACATACCACCTACAAAAATTGATGGCGGCCAGTGGGATGCTTCACCGAAATTGTTGCCGACCCACATTACCCGGCCTGGTAAACGTTTACAGAAAACTATGGAAAGATCCACCATGCTATTAATGGGAAAACTCACTATAAATCACCATTTTTAATGGGAAAACTCACTATAAATGGCCGTTTTCAATAGCTGTTTCTATGTTTACCAGGCCGGGTACCAAGATGAATCCACCATTCCGACCATATTCAGATCCCAGGGACCAGTGATCTACAGAGTTCCTGCGGCCTGGCGTCTGGCGTGCGAGGATTCACTGATTGGCATGACAGGACGGCGATTGAAGCAGAACAAACATAAATTGGACTTGAGATATAAGTGATATGTTCAATTATGTTGATATCATGGATTATATATCAACATGGATTATAAGTTTGATTATATTGATATCTCAAGTTAACGATTATATAAGTGGATATCACTGGATATCCATCAATTTTTTATATTATGTTGATATCCATTGATGGATGATATCATATTATATCTCCAGTTTTGGTGTTTTTCCGTTGATCGTCAAAGCCCTGCATCTTCGGATTCTCGAACCGCATCTATATCCACCATGAATCCAAAGGCGAGCCTATGTACAGAACGCTAGTGCGATGCTATGTGTTCTACATGTCAACTGTTGCTATAGGCTTAATAAAAAGCTAATCAATCAAAATCCTGATCTGCCATGAAAAAAAACTCCATCAATTTTCGCTCCATGAAGTACCCTCTGGTAATTTAACATAGCTATTGAAAATGGCCATTTATAGTGGATTTTCCCATTAAAAATGGTGATTTTCCATAGTTTTCTTGTTTACCAGAGGGTAATCCATTGAGTCGTCCCCGGATATCAATTTTCGCTATCTCAGAGCAAAAATTCAGCATATCCCAGGAATCCACCGAATGTTTAACCCATTGAGAAAATCGAACAAAAATCGAACCATCACCAAGCGAAACCGAAACCTTCCCCAACACCGAGAGATTCAGATATAATGTGTATATATATATATATATGTCAATGGATATTTTACTCCTTCCAAGCCATTTGAAAAAAATTGGATATGTTACTCCCAACTTACTGGTGCTAAACGCAGGGAATGGATGGGTTGCTGGGGGTTGCTGGGATGATTGTTACTAGTGAATACTAGTGATTATGGATCATTATGATCATTCCCGAAAATTCCCTACTAATTAAGTTACTAAGCGCCAGCCAATTCAAGCACTTTTTTGGAGGTGATTTTCGTTGACTTTTCTGACCCCGTTTCTCGCCTCGTGACCGCCTCTGCCAGACGCATAGCTCCGAGCTGACGGTCCAGGCCTGCCGCTCCGTCGGTGTTGCGGAGCTGGCGAACTGGGAAAAACATATGTCATTGGATTGATTTAAGGGAAAATCTTAACCGGAAACCCATTGTTTTTACCATCAAATATAGGACTTTCCTGTAAATTTTCCCATCATCCAATTGTATGAATATGTTTATCATGATAACCTTGGTGATAATATCATGATAATAAAATGACAATAGAAACAGATATTATATTATCACCATGATGAAGATTATATCATGATGATTATATTTTCATAAACAGGGTTAAAACTGGTTTTGAACATATCATGGTAGCACTTCACGCTTCACTTGGTGATTCCCTTGGTATTTTATCATGTCAAACTTGGTGATTCACGCTTGGCGAATTGGAATCCCTTCCCTCCAATATTGAATGGTGGATTCAATATTCCGACGTTTTCGGGCTAAAGCATCATGTATTTCCATGGACCATGTTCCATGGTCATGTAACAAATAACCAGAGAGTGAGTCATGTTTTGAGTGAAATGGCGACTTGATGAGATTCAATGAGCATTTCACCAACAAAGCTATGATAGAAACAATTTCATGAGGATTTCGTGGGGCAACAGTGGTGAATCATTCATCTCCTACTTCAGCAACAAATCGATAATATTCGATTCAAGGGGGAAATTTATTTCACCAATAGAGTTATGGGAATTATAACCATGGGAAAAGGCTGGGGGAACCCCAGATTTTTTTTGTGTCTGGACGCTTGACCAACCATTGAAGCAACGAACCAACACAGCTCTTTGACCAAAAACTCAAAAAAGCGGGCTGCCCAATCAGAACACTGACATTCCAAGCTACGGATTATCCTGCTTGGGATCTACCCTCTGGTAAACTAACATAGCTATTGAAAATGGCCATTTATAGTGAGTTTTCCCATTAAAATGGTGATTTTCCATAGTTACGTTAGTTTACCAGAGGGTACCATGCAATGGTCCTTTCAAACAACAGGCGAAAT